CCGGACTCTTATATCTTCGGACTGTTGGCGTTGCCGACCCATTTATACCGGGCTCGTGTGTGTGTGTCCTCTCTTCCCTGGGGTACGGATTCGGGTCACGTGCAAACCGTGAATTCGAACCAACTCGACTTTGACGAAGGAACGCGCGCATCATACTATACCGACATGTGGAATCTTCAGAGTCCAGGGTGCCCGGATGAGCATTTTAAAAATTTTGTTCGACTGACCAGCCAGACTTTCAAAGTCCCCGGGCAGACACCACCGTGCCAAAAATCCGTGGAAATAATGACCGAATGCGCGCGCTGTACAAGCAATGTGCGCGCGAAGAGTCAGATCATGGGTTTGCGCTGACTCCAACGCAGGGCAGAAGACATTAGAATCTAGATCCGCGGAAGAGGATCGATCGGGCGCCTGCCTGAGCCTGAGGTTCAATCAGAAAATCGAATTTACAGCAGAGGCATCGGGGCAACAGGAGTTTGAGGAGGCGCACCTACCTATCACGCAGGAGCACCATTGGCATTGAAACGACTTGCTGTAAAGCCTCCAGTCCGTTCTCAGCTACCAAAGTTCTGGGTAAATCTGATTGTTACGATGGCATCTTCTGTGGCGTCAAGAAGCGTATTTAGGGGCATCAGCTCCCTGCAGGAGACTTGTAGATCTGTGAGCGAGCAGCGGACTTCTGTTGCCAAACCGTTTGCCAGAACCTCTTTGAAAGGTAAGGTCATTTCGGTCAATCTGGGATGTAGTCTGAGTACGCCGCGGTTTCTATCCTTTTGACACCTTTTGAGCCGCTTCTCTTGCTTGACCATCAGGCAACGCGGTGGTATTTCAATTTTACGGAGGATGTTGATAAATGCATTCAACCAGGTAGCAGCTTGGCAAGCCTGTAAATACATGTAGAGATATCTTCCTAGAGATGCCAAGAATCTCTTTTTGCATTGAGAGCGCACAGCTACCAGCTCATTCCAAAATGTAGAGAGCGCACAGCTACCAGGATATTCACAATGTAGTGGCGAATTCTCAAAAGATGGTCCTCATTTAGTTTGACAGTGGTAGAAGGGCGAACCGGTCTCCCAGATCTTTTCACATGTGCACTTATAATCCAAGGTATTGGTGAATTCAAGCGCAGACCTACTTCCCATTTCGCTGGTTTGCTCGATCTCATTGATCATTACTTGCTGTCCACCAGCAGGATGTACACCATCCGCACCACTTCGGACACTGAAACGGGGGTCCAGCACATTCCTTGGGGCTTCTCACAAGTCGTTCCTCCCTTCTCTTCCTCCAAAGCCAGTCCGGTGAGAGTCACTAGAGTTTGGCCAGAAAATATCTCCAAGTCTCTGGCTACCTAAATGGAGCGGGTTTCTGATATCCTAGCTTCCGTTGGTCAGGATCCCGCACGAGTGCAAAGTGGTCTGTGTGTATCGGCATTACAATGCCACATTGAAGTTTTGAGCTGGATCCGGTCGGCGCCCTATAATAGAGAAACTAATGCGCTGAGAGTTATGCCAAGCGGCTTTTGGTAATGGTGTTCCATTTGCAACGGGTACTGAACATCTGTTTTTCCATTTTTGTCTTCGCTGACTTCGCAGCCTCCTCTTCCTTTGCCTTCATGCATTGGCCTTAGATCTGGGCCACCGCGTCGATCGAGTCTGATTGGCAGCTGTTTGTGGAATATTCACTTGACTGCATGCAGTCCAATAGCAATGCATTGCTGGCATAGAGGAGCATTGAGCCAGACAGGCAACGAACGGGATCGTTCGCAAGCATTTCATCCCTGAAGTTCTCACCTAATGCTGGCGTTCTGATTACTCTAGGGCTACCAGGCAGAGCGGTGTGTGTCGAGCCGAAAGTGTTGGGGCTATTGGTGGAGGTGGGGCCGTGAAAGAGCGCAGCCATTTTGAGAAAGTTGTTGAGCTACTCACAACAATGTTCCCAGTCTGGGTAAGTATTTTGCATTGTCTGCACGGCTTAGCGAGCTTGGAATCTGACACGACGGTGCCTTGTCCGCGATGATGCCCACTTTCAGCACCTTCTCTCCAACGTGTTTGCTTCATGCGATGTAAGCAAATATTTGGCGCGGTTGGTCGTATTGTGGAAGGGCAGTACTTCAGTGTTTGACGGCCCTCTTGTTCACAAGCTTCGCTTCGCAGAGTCGCCTACTTGAAGTACGCGCCATGCCAATAGGAAATTGTCTGGTTATCTGTCGATGAAAACAGATTGTAACTGCATTGCATGCACCCACGATCCATGCAGCAACTGCTGAGCGCTCAAGCTGATTGCACGGTCTGTTTTGCAGATTATCATTGGAACGGTTGTTGGTTTGTGGCGGCCAAGCTATGTGACCTGGCTGAGCTCGGACCTCTTCACGCTGGGCCTGGGCTTGCTCATGCTCTCCATGGGCCTTACCCTCTCAGTCGACGACTTTCGGCAGATCGCCCGCAATCCTTGGACCATCCTGTGTGGTTTTGTCGCCCAGTATTTTGTGAAGCCGCTCCTCGGTTTTGCGATCGCTCAAGTAAGGGGCCCTACACTTCAACTTGGCTCGTCTCGACCGTGACAGTCAGATTTGGCCTACGTCATCAATGCATTAAGATTGTCAAGTATCCGTGTCCAAAGTTGCGTCCTATGTTGTCAATGTGACACCCTTGCAATAGACTGTGTGGCACTGCTATTTGTGGAACAGAGACAGCTTTATTGAATATTCAAACGTGAAGATCGCGCCCTCCACCAGGTTCTGACCCAACCCATCATAGGGCCACATTGTTTCTTGCCACTTGCAGCAGGCTAAGCACCAACTCTAGACCATTTCATTCTTCCATAATGGATTTTGCGAACGGGTGACTCCTTTCTGCAGGCTATGAACCTCCCCGCCCCCCTAGCTACCGGCCTCATCCTGGTCTCATGTTGCCCGGGAGGGCAGGCGTCCAACGTGGCCACCTATATTGCTCATGGAAATGTGGCTCTTTCTGTCGCGATGACGACGTAAGCAACACATGGACCTGCACTTATTTCATGCAACACTCTGCTAGAAGCTGTAGTTCCGCCAACCAACGCTGAGAAGTCCTGCAGTAGTTGCGAGCGGACAGATTGCGAATTGCCTTGCCGGAGTTGCTCATGGCTGGGCAGCTACAAGCTGGACTTTGGACTGGTCGTGCGAGATGGTCCTGTGAGTTGGCACCTGAGTAGCCCCAAGGGCTTGCAAGTAATTGTGTGCTCTTGAATATCTTGTGCGCAGGGCTTCCACAGTTGCTGCTATCATGATGACTCCTCTTCTGACCAAGGTGCTGGCGGGGCAGCTGGTTCCAGTTGACGCCGTGGTAAGCAGCATTGGGGACACTGGAGCAAGTTGCTAAGAGGCCAAAATGTGGAACAAACCTACGTATGAACAAACCTACGCATGATTCCGCCTACATTTTAGTTGCTCAGCTTCAATTCGTATCTTCCGACAATTAGCACAGTTTCAATCCACCGGATCCATCTTTGGTCTCTTTTGACAACTCCATCAATCTCAATAGCTCACAGTTACAGGTTCGTCCTTCTTGCTTCAGTTGCCGTGGGCCCACATCCCTGCAAACGGGACTGTAGTCCTTGTCATATCCTACTTCGTGTCTTAAGCAAGCTTGTCTCGACTTCGTCTCAAGCTTCTTTCGATATCAATTCTGCCTCCTGACTGACATGATCAGAATGGGACGACTTGGTGTTTTCTCCTTAGGAAAAAGGATGGGGGGTTTCGACAGGTCCTGACATGACAGCCTGCCCCTTTGCTGCAGGGCCTTGCGTTGAGTACCTTCCAAGTGGTCCTCCTTCCCACAGTTGTTGGAGGTGAGAGAATGAAAGCCCTTCGCTTCGCGCATTTGAACTTGAGGTGATGCAGATGCGCAAAGGATGGGCTCTGGTCATGAAAAGGGTACGACCAGAGCCATGTCTGCACCCTTTGGCAGTCGTCTGTGTATACCCGTGTGCACCGAGTCTGATTAAGTAATCTCTTCGAGGTATATCTGGAGAGTCTGAGTTGTTGTCTCCCTGTTTTCCTTAGCAACAAATGGATGTCAGGAATAAAGAGGCGCACATATGTGGCATTGCTAAGCTTCCCCGCTTCGTATCTGTGTGCAGTTGTGGCCCACGAGTGCTTCCCGAAATTTACTGCGAAGATTTCGACCTTCACCCCCCTCATCGGAGTTATCCTAGTGACCCTTCTGTGCGCCAGCCCTGTAAGCCCGAAACTTCACGCAACTACAACATTGACAGGTCCCAGTGCATATTGCATTCTGTGAAGCTGGCCAGGCTGAAGTCCGCTTCAGCAGCCCGTATCTCTTTGCTCAGGTCTGTCAATTATGTCGAATCGTAGTATACAAGCGGTAACCAGAAGGCTCCTCCACGTCCATAAGCGCAGCCCTTTGCATGCTTGCTGTGTTTCTTGCAAGCTGCCCAAAACGGTCGACATCTCTGCCTTGAAGTCCCGGGTCTGGCCAAGGGTGCAGCTTTGATTCTGCCTCATACTATATCCTGTGCTGGTACCTCCTCGATTCACCTTTTCTGTCTGGCGCTTGGCTCACTTGACTGTGACGTCGTCTCTGTTGTGCAGATTGGTCAGGTTGCTGACGTCTTGATGACGTCAGGTGCCTCCCTGATCTGGCCCGTGCTGGCCCTCCACACGTTTGCTTACGGCCTGGGTTACTTCCTCAGCAAAATTGCAGGGTTCGGGGAGAAGACTTCTCGAACAGTATCCATTGAGTGTGGCATGCAGGTGAGTTTGGAACAGCCCCACGGTTGCAGCCTTCCTGGACCCTTGGTGTCGTGGCGTTTGCTGGTGTCATGGCGTTTTGGTACTGGGGTCTGTTAGGAAATGCCTCTCACGACAAGGCTTGTTGGAGCTTCTCACCGAAGACGGTCCAGTATCTGGGACTTTCTGCTGGCTGATGGAAAATCAAGCTTGCTCAGACCCATTCTTACCAACACAGGTCGTTTGTCTGGGTCTAAGAGCGTCGTCAGAAGCTGCCAGTCGCATTTCAGTTAACAGCAGGCAGCTGTGCTTCCTAGCGGATCGGCCAAACACAGCCCTCTCCCAGCCGCTGTACTCCTTGAGCCGCGACAGTCAGCACACCAATCTATCTCTGCTTGACATCTGCTCCGTCGTTTCGTCCGCAGAGCTCTGCCCTCGGCTTCCTGCTTGCTCAGAAGCACTTCAGCAACCCGCTGGTGGCCGTGCCGTCGGCAGTCAGTGTTGTCTGCATGGCGGTAAGAGCGCCCGCCTCAACCTAACGTATTGACATGCCTTGTTTGGCTTCACGAGATGGATGCTTGTATGTCGTTTGGGCAATGGAAGATAAGTCGACTCGAGTCTTTTGGAAGGACTCGAGCGACAACTTTGGATGACAGTCCAGGAGTGCCTGGCCCAGGTGCACCTTGCTTCTAGGTCCGCTTTGTCCCAAAGCCTTACGCAGGTTGCCTGTACCCTTTTTGCCGTCAAACGTACTTTGTCCTCGGTACTGGAATCTGTGTACCGATTCACAGATTCTGCCTGTCCTTTACCTGCGCAGCTCCAAGGCGCTCTCATTGCCGTGGTTTGGCGGAATCAGCCTATCGCTGCTACCGATAAGGATGACTTTGTAGCAATTGCCTAGGGTTGAATAAGTTGACCCCTGAAGCTGTGCAGACATTTTTTGTAAGGTAGGCGCTATTGTGTTGCTAAGTGCGTTGGAAGGGTGGCTTGCTCGACCATGAGTACCTGAGATAGACAGTCTTGTTAAGCAGTCGCATTGGAACGTTGAGGTCATCCTATCATGGAGCGGAATCTTGGATCAAGCAGACATCACTGAAGTTCGCGGCTAGGAGCCTTGTGGAAATGATGGAAGTCGAAAGTGACATGATTGACCATGCTTGTATAGTCTCTCATCACGATGGATCACAAGGGTAAATGTCGTTGCTATGCTGGAGTAGTACGTTCTCTAGTTGATCACGGGGTAATGATCATCGGCCTATGTAAAAGGCGCACTTAAAAAGAAACGCATGTGCACGTTCGTGCCAGCCCGCACACGGCACAATTTCAAACCCGCTCAACGAGGAGCAAAATAAATAATCAGTTTTGGGAATTGTTGCATAGTGCGTGCTTCAGTTTCAAAAGCTAGCTCACAGCTGTAACAGCGCTCGATCGGGACGGACGGTCAGTCCAAAACTACCTAGACCAAGTGCTCATGCGACGCTGCACGTGTACGTTATATAGTACAGTGATCCTTATGAAAACTTATTAACACCTGGAACATGTGCACTTAATGATGCACATGGGCGCGCATTCTACAATGGGGATATATATCATGCCGATCGAGTGCAGTTACAGCTAATTCTAGGTATATATAGTTTCTTTCACAAATTTGTGAAACTCAAAATCCGGCATTTGTGATTATACGCGACCCAGATCCATCTATAATAAGGTGCATGTTGACGGTATAGGTATGTCATGTCCAGATCGCATGAATCCAACAAGCTCTGCAATCATATGCCTTGCAATGAATGATCGTCTCATGCGATTGCCACCGTACATGATCGGAGATGACTACGAAACCGTTGCTCCTCTCGATCCGCAGCCTCGTGCATTGCATGCCGCAGTGAATGCATGACCCACTCGTATTCTGCACATCCTGAGACTCGTGCTACATTCATGAACTAGGAATCTTCATTGAATGGAACAGCATATTATAACCTTGGAGAATATGTAACGCCCCTTCACATAGGGTCAATAGGGGGACCACTAAGCTCGTGCTGTTTTGAGAGGCTCCTTTGCCCACCTTGGTTCTCCCTCTCCCCTTGCCTCTGCCGCGTCCCTTCTTGCAGTAGGCTCGCTAGCCTCTCTTTCACCAGCCTCTTCCCCAGGCTCTCGAGATGGAACCGGTCCGCAACCAACAAGCGCCGCTGCGGCACTTTCGGCTTTTTGACTTTCTGCTTTGCCGCAGCTCGCCTATGGTCAAGTACGTCCGGTACTCCAATACCGAATGCCTGGCCAGGTTGCTGTCCTCGCCACAAGGGAAGCGCTCCTGCCCGGCCAAAAGGGTCCAGGCCAGGATGCTGCGGGGCGAGAGGGGACTGCCGCGGCTGCTGGCCGGGGTACTGAGGCAAAGCACTCGGGGGAAACAGGAGAGGCTGCTGCCACAGGGGGGCGTCCTTTCTGGCTGGGCCAGCGATTGGCCATGGCCCAGGAAAACTTTGGGGCAAGGTGCCCAATCGGGGATCCATCTGTAGGTTCATATTTGACATGAGAGGAGGGATGCCAGGCGCGATGCCTCCTGCTTTCTGACGGCTCGGGATTTTGGGCACTGCTGATTGACTGGGGGTGCCTGCAGCGGCACCGCTTAATAGCCGTTGGATGTCCTCGGGTGTGGCATCGAACGGACGGTTTGCAAGTGGCGACCCAACGGGTGTGCCCGGGCGGCTGTTGGGGGCTGAGACGTCCCCCTCTTTCTTTTTTCTAGGAACCGCCGGCAGAGCGCCACTCTCGACAAAGCGCTGGATCTCAGCACGGGATCGAAAACGCTTGCCCTCGGGAGAGAAGTAGTACTGCAGGGAAGAGAGTAGAGAAACAGTGGACGGAATTAGACTCAACATGGAAGACGTGCCTTCAAATCAAGACGACATTAGGGGAGGGTACATAGCTATGTACCACAGAGGGCTCAGTAACTTCCTTCAAGCCAACTGGTAGATTGAGATAGATAACTGAGTGCGGGATCACGGTAACAGCAGACGACGCTGCATCCGATCTTGCTGAAGAAGACGTCGACCATAAAGGGATTTTGCGGATCCTCCGGCAGGCTGGATGGCATCCAAGCTCGACTTTCAAGGAGTGTATTCATGTGTGTGACTTCGACCAGGATGGGAGCTCTGGCTCCAAGGAAGTGCTCAAGATGTCACAGCAAGGTACTGTGTCGACCTGGCAGGTCTTGCAACCCACAAGCCGGGTAGAGCCAGGTGTCTCGACAAAGGTGGAACGTGCTGCTCACTTTATCTTTGGTCCCTGCCGTTGCGCCTTGCCCGCGTACTTTCTCCTCCACTCTCCACCCCTCCGGCAGCCAGCTCGGCCGGCCCACCTCAACCCCCTTGGTGGGCGGGTATCGCTTACGTTTTGCAGCTGCCTGCCCGTCGGCGTCTTCGCCCCCTCCAAGTGGTCCCTCTGAGAACGGCGAGACCTCCCGGCTAAGGGGAGTGCCTGCTGCTGAGGCGGGACTGGTTTGGGGCTCTGCTGAACCAGGGCGGGGAGCCCCAGGCTCGGAAGCTGCCGCCCCCTCTAGCAGGGCGGTGCGGTCTGATACTTCGGGCGGGGGAAGACTGGGCGAAGCTCTTCCAGCTGCGCCCCAAACACGGTTGGCAGCGGAGGTCTTTGTGAGCATGAGGCGCGGCTTGAAGGCGGGGGTAAGTGACCGGTTCTTTCTGGCGCCAATTTCAGAGTCAGAGGGGCCTTCGCCACTTGGCTGGGCTCGTTCTGCAGGGGACGTGAACAGGACATGAGATGCAAGCTTCAATGGACAGCATTTTATTGAACACAGAAAAGGCTGGAGTCTCTTCATTGAACGGCGCAGTTTAATGCAGGAAGAAAACTTAACAAACACAACGCAATCGATGGAAGCTTGGGAAACTGACAGGCGGAGGGCATAATACTGGGTGTCTCTTCCCCTGCGGAAAGAGGTCGGGCTTTGGGGCAGATGAACAACTATGGCAAGCATACAAACACATGGATGGAAGCAGATGTCAGCAGAGTACAGTTTAAGCCATGCAGTGTACTGCATAAATGAGGAATCTGAGATCAAACAATGTGGTTCTGCAAAATCCGCATTGCAACAAATTCAAACAAACCCAAACGAGATAAATGGCGTACCTTCCGCCTGTGGGATCTCCTGTACACCAATCTGCTTCTTCTTCTCCTCGACCTTGGCAATCTGCATCTTCAGGTCAAGAAGCTCTTGTTCCAACTCCCTCTTCCGTTTGCGCGCATCTGGCGATTTCGATGCCTGAGGATTGCCGCTTGGCCCCCGAGGCCTGTCCGCCCAAGAACTGTTGTCGTCCATCTCAATAACAAGCCGTTCTTGATAGAAGCAGCTAGCTGAACCGCTAGGATTCAAGAACTGTTTTGATAAAGCACTGCTGAAATGGGCGCTTCTGTTCGAGAATCTGCTTGTACAGAACTACATTTCAATCAAGCTTTTTAAATACATCAACTTCAAGAATTGGCATGTAGACATTGACACTCTCGTTCACGGTATTGGTTCAACACAGAAACGGGACTGGTCGTCAGGCAGAACGGGGATCCCGAGCCAGCTACAGCGCGATTGCCCGTAGTGCCGTTCAATATTGATAACGGTGCACCTAAGCCGGTGTTTGCCTTCACGGCACGAGACAATCTCCCTAGTGTCAAAGGCGACAAAACAAACATGCCTAGTTTTCGTCGCATTGCTTGTTTGGTGTGATTCTCGAGACCAGCTTGAACTCATCAGTCCTGCCGCAGTGCAGCAGCAGCACACTGCACAGCGTCAGTCGTTCAAAATGGCTTCAGCAACCGCCGCCTCAGTTCACCTGAAAGCCACATTCTGCAGCAAGGTTCAGACCAGTTCCTCCAATGTGGTGAGGCGTCAAGCTGGTGTTACGAGGCTGCACTCCCCCATTGCCGACGGACGCGCTGCGAGCAGGGTGGGCGGCAGTGAGAGCAATTTCGTTGGTACAGCATTGAAGGCTGGATACAGGCTCTCAGTAGCTACCACCAAGGCTGGGAGACGGGAGGCCACAGGTTCGATTTGATCCTATCTCACTTTTGCAATGTCAGTGCAACACTGCGCCAGTGCTTGACCCATCCATTGCAAAGATCAGCCCAGTCAGAGACTTCCGGCAAGCTGAAGTCTGTGCATTTACTGGAATAGTGGTTGCCTGGTCAGTGTGTTGTCTTGCGGATATCTCTCCAATGTCCTATAAGGTACCACTGCGACATTTGGGTCGTATGGGTCGTCCTCAGATCACCAAGCTTCTTGTTGAACATGCCTGCACAGACGTTTAAACTGCAAACATGGAACAAATGCTGCAATTAATGCTTCTCGCTGTCCACAAGCAAAACGTCTCAAGACAAGTGTGAGAGCTGCTTAGCACAGAATCATTTGTGCGCGCAGTTATGGCGGCCCTCACTCAAGACCAGCTGAAGGAGCAGGCCGCCTTCAAGGTGTGGAGATAGACTTGACTGAAGTGCTCAATTTCGCACCTGCAGTGCACCGCCCTGCTGTGCGTGGATCATCTTTGTTCTTACCTCATTCGTCCAGGTATAAACACTCGGTTTGTGTGCATATTACATGCATGGTGCAGATGAGGGAAGAGTGATCTCTAGATTCCTGTCTGAGTTGGGCGTATTCACTGTGCAGGCAGTGGAGTACGTCAAGAGCGGCATGGTCCTTGGACTGGGGACTGGATCCACTGCCGCCTTTGCAGTGGCCCGAATTGGGGAGCTTCTGAAGGTGCATACAAGACCTTCTGACTTTAGTCAGTGTTGTGGCGGATGTTGCAGCCAGATGGTTGATGCCATGGTCACTGCTCCATAGTGGGTCTTGACCTCTTTACAAAGAACATATGATATGCCACTACACTTAATTCAAAGGATCGACGAGGAAGACAGGAGCTGTACTCTCGACGCAACCGGGACACAGAAAGCAGCATTTGAAGGACTGGGGTTGTTCTGTTCATGCAGAAGGGCGAGCTCAAGGACATTGTTGGAGTACCAACCTCTAAGGTGAGTGCAAGAACCTCGTATCGTACTTATCTGTGATGACCTCTCGTTGGGAAAACAACCAACATCCGCACTGCTTGAGTGACGATTCTGAGAACCCAAACGGTCCGCATATGAGTAGGATTGCTGGGACAAGGCTAAGTGCATTGTCGACCAGCCTTCTCTTATCAGGTTGTATGCCAGCTCAATCCTGTCCATCAGATCTGTTGCAGAGAAGACATTATCAACTGATTTATTTTCATTTACAGAGGACTGCCGAGCAGGCTGCCAGTCTCAACATTCCACTCTCCGTTCTGGATGATCATCCAGTCGTAAGTCCCTGCTCCAAAGTCTCCACCTCAACTCTTTTATCGACCTGCCGAACTATCTAGCTCGAGAGTTGTGGTTGCTCTACTTCTTTAGATGTCAATTGAGCTCTACATCCGACCAGTCTTCTCAGATTTCTCTGCTGTGAGCTCGCAAAGTACGCCCTGGTGCAACGTCCTTGTTTTACCGTCCTCTTTGCTTTCTGAACTGATGTCGAGATTCAATGAGATTCCATTGTTAGCCCATGCTCACATCTTCTGCTGCTGTAGTGCCACACCAATGCTTATGCGAGAAGTTCAGAAGATGCTGTATCTGCTGGCCTTTATTGTTCAACAATGTCATAGTGTCAAATGAAGTCAGAAGGATGTGTGCGGCCAACCAAGTGAACAGCCGTGTATCAGTTTTCACACTGGTCCTGTTGATGGTCAGGGACAATGTCCCTGGAAACTAGGATCGTTCATTACTATTTATGTCGCCAAGGATCACCATGATGTAGGCAGCGAGGGTTTGACTGTTCTTTCTTGGAAGGCGACAGAATCACAAGGGACGAAGCTCACGAGACTCAACTAGGAGAACTGGTAGAAAGAGCATAGGAAACGATCAGGGTCCGCTTGATTCTCGTCAGGCTTGTATTCGTAGAGGGCTGAGGTTCGTACCCAAGAGGTTCTTCGTCCCTCCAGATTGACCTGGCTATTGATGGCTCAGACGAAGTAGACCCCGACTTGAATCTGGTCAAGGGGCGGGGGGGAGCCCTCCTCAGAGAGAAGGTGAGCACAGTCAGATGCACGGAAGCCATGGAATGCTTTGAGGGCGTCCTCCCTATGCTGCACTTCATGCTGCGCTTTCTGTGCTACACAGTAGGAGCATTGTTCGTTACGCGACTATGACTCTGACTGTCCCTGTCGACCTGCGCCTGGAAGCCTGCCCGTTTCCCAAGTGGTGAGTCAGCGCGCCTGACTCCGACGGCGTCCTCTGCTCCTGCAGATGGTGGAGAAGGCGTCCAAGAAGTTTGTCGTCATTGTGGACGAGACCAAGGTGACAGCCCCTCCCTCATCGCCTTGCATGCAGCCTTGAGCAGACTTGCACTATGCCATGGGCGTGGGTGGATCCTTTCGACTTGGCCGCCGGGGGACGTGTGTCCGTCCCCTTAGGCACCCAGCTATCATTCGCTGCTTCGATTGATATCCCGTTTCAAATTACGTTAGGACGACCACTTACGATTGGTGCTTTGTTCCCTTCTGATCCTGAGAAACACCAGTTTCGTCGTGAAGAGTTGGTGTTGCGTCCTTGCAGCTGGTTGATGGGCTGGGGGGCAGCAAGCTGGCGATGCCGGTCGAGATCGTCCAGTTCTGCTGGAAGTACAACCTGCAGCGGCTAGAAAACCTGCCCGAGGTCAAAGGCTGCACGGTAGGAGGCCGTCTGCCGCTCTGCCAAAGATTTCAGTAGCAGAGACCACTAGGCCGACGGATGCTGGGGTCTCACGACCAGAATGCGAGCCCTCCCCTATGCACTGCTGACCTTATACTCTCTACCAGGAAGGAGTCCTGACTTGTCTGGTAAAGAATAACAAGACTAGTTCGACTATTAGGCCGTTCTTTCGTCACTTGAAGGAGTAGTGCAATGTTGGCTGCAAATGACCTCAGTGACACTGCTTTCTGTTGCAGGCAAAACTCAGAATGGAGGGCGACAAGCCATACGTTACCGACAATTCCAACTACATCGTCGACCTTTACTTCGAGGTGCGCAGCTTTTACAAACCCCGGTTCAAAGCCTTTGCACAAGCGTTGCTCTCGCCAGTAATGTCATCAAAGCAGGACAACAAGGCAGAGCCAATGCATGGCAGGTGTTGAAAGGTGGCAAGCTTACTGTTGGCGAAATACACCTGTTTCATCTCTCGCCCTGGAACAGCGGCTTGTTCAGTAACTTCGGTGGAGTCCAATAAGATCATCCGTGTGCTCTCGGATCTGGAAAAGGCAAGGTTGTGAGCTGCTGCAGGCAGAGCCCGTCTTCGTTGTGCAAATGGTTTGCGAAGCCTGGTCCTGCTTCTATTTTCGAGACCAGTTCCCTGTCGTGCCTCGAGTCACCTGTGCTGCTTACCCTTGCTGCAGGAGCCGATCAAGGACGCGCATGCCGCTTCGGAGGCCATTCTAGCCTTGGAGGGAGTCGTTGATCACGGCCTGTTCCTGGACATGGCCACTGTTGTTATCATTGCTGGATCGAACGGCATTGAAGTGAGGGAAAAGTAGACCAAGCTCAGGTGCCGAAGTTTTCATCAATCCGCAGCATCGAAAACTGCCTGTACCCAACGCCCATTGTTTTTGCTCGTATCGTCCTTTCGTAGTTTATCATTGTTGAGCTTGATGCGACTAGCAACCGAGTAGCGCTATAGTGAACCTCCGACTGATGTATCTTCTGTCAAGAAGACGCCCTTCTGTAGGTGCGTGTCTGTGTGTATGAGGGACGCACAATGACAGCTACTAATAGTACCATCAACCGTCCGAGCTAGGCCAATGTAGCATCCGCTTTTGAGCTAGTATTCGGGCAGGTCTGGATCATCATCTCCAGGCCCATATGCATACGCAGGTGGGACAGTATCTAACCAGTCTCTCAAGGGTAACTCGTTACTCTGGGTCAGCTCGACTCGCTTGTCCTGCATGCAGCATATTCGACAAAAGGTGATTATGTGCGACAGTTATTGCTAGCGAATAAGATTCTCATGTCATGTAACTGGCGCCTGGCAGTCTGGCGTTCTCACATTACATATATAGCTGAGTTTACATGTGTGCGAAGTGGCATGCAGACTGCAGGCAGCTATAGATTGAGTCATGTTGGTCCATGTACGTCCATGCATAAACGACGCGCGATCTGCATGATCGTTCAGCTGACCGCACGTGACATGCAGGCATATGATCGGGTGTACCACATCTCCGATCCACGGTCATTTTGGAGGCGCCATGCTTCAATCTATAGTTGGACGCTCGCCGAGATTTATGCCAGCAGCTACAGCGTAACATGTTGCATAAGATGCAAGTTAGCCGTTCATACACGTTTATATAAATCACTCCAAATGATTCACGTGCTATATAGAAATCATAACTAGCTTGCAACCCAACACCATCATGCAATGCATTGCACTATGGCTGCCGTTCAGACCAAGGGTAATTCCGACCGAAATGGTGCATGCATTTCCATGATTCGATCCCTAGCAGTTTAGCGGCCAAGTGAAATTGACGACGATCGACATGCATTCTGCTGATTGGCCGGCACATCTGGGAACTTAACTCTTTTGACAAAAACGGGACTAACTCTACAACGGTTGTTTCGGGGACTTCAGAGCCGGCTTTCAGATTTTGCCTTTCGTAAGAGCCTAGCTCTGGCAAAGGCACCAGAAAACGTCGTCAATAAATCCGCACCTCCCCCCGAAGCTCTGATCCAAGCTCTGAGCGGCTCATAGAGCAGTTGTCACGACAACTAAAGAGCTATTCTGCATATATTACCCAAAGCCAACTTACAAAGCTCAATACCATAAGAAACTTCACCAATCCTCTTTGGCGACCTCTTCTCTGCAGTGGACCTAAGACTTCCTGTTTGAAATCTACCGATAACGTGCCAGAAACCAAAATCCGACTGTAAAATTTGGTACGACTTGGCTTGGGCGCAAGGGGCTTCTTCTTCAGTCCCCACCGGCCTTGGGAGCAGGCCCGCCTTGCAGCGGCTTGAGGGCGACCATGATGTCGGCAAATGATGGCCGCTTCTGCGGCACCCTGCAGACATACCGTGACATGTCAACAAATGCCGCAAACTGCGCTTACAGAAGATACCGCCAGAACAGTGACCTCATACGCTGGTGCATGAAAGCCCTTTCGGACAGGCTACAGGCTGCAACACCACGGGCTTTGCAGCGGATGATACAACGAGATTAGCGTTAGGATGCCCCACGGCCCTGCGACTGATGGCGCCGAATCACACGAAAGCAAAGATGCAACGCTACAAGGAAACACACAGGCGGCTCGAAATCTCAGCAAGTGCTTTTCCTAAAAGCAGACCAGGACCGCGATACAAAATCAACTCGCACAACAAGCGCGCGCGGCGTTGCTCACGTGTGCCAGCAGGCGGTGATGAGTGTGGCGAGCGCGGGGTCGATGTTGTCGGGCAGCTGCAGTCTGCGCTCCTGGAAGCCGACGGCGCCGACGACCTGCATGGGGTTCAGCCCGTTCCAGGGCTGCTCCAGCGTGATGAGCTCCCACATGATCACGCCGAAGCTGTACACGTCCGCCTTCTCGTCGCTCGGCTCGTTCTTGAGCACCTCGGGCGCCATCCACTCGGGCGTGCCCGCACTGCTCTTGGACGTCAGGAACGTCGCGTTCTTCAAGCGGGACAGCCCGAAATCGCACACCTGCAGGGCGGAGAAGGGCGGGCGGTCAGGCACAGAAGGAAGCGCGGACACCAAGGCAGTGTAGACTCCAGTCCCTGAGTAGCGGTCATTGAGCACGTCTTCGGAAGGACTTGAGTAGCACTCACTGAGCACGTCTCCGGAAGTTCGCATGGAGGTATGCTCTCAGAAGAACTGGGAGGAGGCCAGCCCGAACCTGTTGCCACCTTAGAGAAGACACTGCTAGAGTGCACCTCGCTTTCTGTCGACTTTTCTTCTGTGCAACAAAGGGAACAATCTGACACAGTGTGAATCAATCTACTGGGATGTGATGGTGCACGTTAGAGGCGCTCAGCAGAGGGTAGGCCGGCATGCGCGCACGGGGCTCACCTTGACGGTCCAGTTCTTGTCAACAAGCAGATTGGGGCTCTTGAGGTCGCGGTGCACAATGGGCGGGGAGGAGCGGTGCAGGTAGTTCATGCCCTTGGCCACGTCCATCGCCATGCGCATGCGCTTGCGCTCGTCCAGCACCTGCGCGCTGTTGGGCCGGTGCAGGATGCGGTACAGGCTGCCCCTGCACACAATACCGCATGCAAAGCAGTGAGACGGGGCCAGACTCATTGTGCGCTGAGTCGCATGTGCTTTAGAATATCATGATGTAGTGCAACGGACAAGGACAAAACTCGAAGCAGCCAATCCTCTTTGCTGCTAGTAGACCAGCGGCGAGCAGCAAAGCGGTTCGTCGACCTGCTCGTGACCTACGGGGAGCAAGTCTGACGGATCGAGCAACCAAGCGCGACATCGCCACGCAACCTGCAACCCTTATGCGGGATGCCCTTGATCTTCTCTCATCCTCTTACACCCTGCGCTCAAAGAGGAACCTTGTGAGGGGAGTTGCGCGCTCACCGCTGGAGAAACTCGGTGACGATGGAGAGGTTGGGCGGCTTGGTGACGGCGCCCATGAAGAGGACGACGTTGGGGTGGCGGCAGCGGCGGATGATGTTGAACTCGGCCTTGAAGTCCTCGATGGCATCCTCGCGGAAGTCCTGGTCCAGAAACACCTTCACCGCCACCTCCGACCCCTGCCAGTCTGCGCGGTACACCTTGCCGTACGACCCTGCGGGCGGAGACCAGGCCACAGTGAGCTGACACATGAAAGGGCACCAGGCGACTTGCCAGCAAGTCACTTGCAGTCCAGAGATGGCCTGTGAGCAATTTTCCTTCGTGTGGCGTTTTTAGCAAGTTCGCAAGCCAGGGCTCCCAACCCGTCAAAGTATGACCACTCAGCAAACAGCAAGGAAGCCATCGCATCTACCTCATGCATGCATGCCTATCCTTCGTTAAGCCTTGTATGCATGCATGCTTATCTCCATTGATCAGCGACAGCTGGATGCAGGGTGCGGTGCAAAACTCGATAAGAAGAAGCAGTGCTGCTCCGAACCGATTCTCGAACCACTCGACCGAAATCTAGGCCTTCCTGAAAGCACTCTCTACTCAAGACCTGTAACGCCCCCTCCCTGGCTGCCGCCACCCCCGGCCCCTCACCTGCTCCGATCCTCTCGCCAATGACCAGCTCCCTCCCAGGGGTATCTCCCACCTCCGCTCATGGCGTCCGTCTTCTGCTCCGCTTTCTTCTCCGCCCAGATGGAGCTCTCCGCCCACTGCGCCCCCCGGTTTATCAGCGACTTGCGCACGCTGGGGGGCGTGGCCCGCTTGGCGGCCTCCGCCTCTTCCGCCTCCCGTCCACTTGTGCTAGCCTCCAAGCCAGCGCCCCTGCCTGCAACCACCCCTTCGGCCCCACCGCCAGCCTCCGCAGAGGCGGCCTTCTCGCCCCCCTCCTCGTGCTTGCCAACCCCAGCATCTCCCCCCTGGCTGTTCTTGCTTGCGGGGTTCTGATTTTCCTCCCCCTCTTTCCCTTTGTCTTGCCCCCCCTGCGAGCCGTCTGAGCTGGCGCGGGGGTAGAGCGGCGAGGTGACGTTGCGGTGGAAGGGCGTGGAGTTGGGGGGCCCATCCGGCTCGTCCAGGATGCCGGGCTTGGTCAGGATGTTCACGACGTACTCGCGGTCGTCGATCTGCACCACGCACGACGCGCTGTCCTCGCGCTGGCAGTGCTTGCACCCACGCACCAGCCGGCAGGGGATGCCAATGCTGTCCGCCAACACCTGCAGGGGGGAGATGCCAAGCACAGGTGAGAAGAGAGAGGGAAGCCGGCAGAAGAACGCCAAATACTGTGTTTCTGTGTCCTCCTGCTACAGGAGTGCGAAATAACTGACTACCACATATGTGCGTGCATCTTTTGACATCCACCACTCCAGCACCAGGTGTCACGTAAGCCAGGCCTATGTTACAGGCATTACAAGCTGGATCAATCAACCCCTCTTACTTGTCAAAACGCAGACAACCCCTCTTACGTGTCAAGACACAAATGATGGGGTAAGACGTTCTTGCGCCCACACAATCCACATGCACTTGGGCCCCTACAGCCCCTCTCTGTGGTTCCTGTAAGTCTCACCTTGAAGAGCAGGGCGCGGTGGCGGCAGAGACCGACGCGCAGGGTGCCAAGCGGCAGCACGATGCTGCCAATCTTGCTCTTGAGCTCCCAGCTGTCAAGGCGCCACGCATCCGCCAGCTCAGCCTCGCGCGCCACAACACCGCCCAGGTGTTCCGCCACCATGATGCCCAGCTCGCGTGCCAGCGATGGGAAGTCCTCGTGCTTGAACCCCAGCTCAATGGCCTTGTTCTGCAATGTGGGCATGGGCATGGGGACGGGTGGGCACGGGTGGGCTTGCTATTTGCAATGGCGGGGGGAAGACAGCAGCAAGGTGAATGCAAGCAGCCGCCCCGGTGGGCCTGACAGTGGGCCTGACAAGCAATGCGCTCTCTCAAGGACTTGGCACTTTAGAAATACATCGACATACATCCAGAGCTGCAAGCAGATTGCGATCCAGAAGTTTGTACAAAGGAAAAGAAAAAAACAACACCTCTCAATGATACCTCTCAACCAAGTCCACTGAAGGACTCCTGATTTGTCCAGTGTCCATTTCAGCACTGCCTGTAAGCATGCCATGAAGCAACACAAACCCTCACTACCAAAGAAAGTACACAGAGATGAGCCCTGTACATTGACAAGCCTTGTTGACAGACCATGAAACGCTTACCTCCAGCGTGAGCAGGTCTGGGTCCTTGGGCTTGCCGTCCGACCCGTCAGAGCGGTCCACCAGGATGACCTCAAATTGTGTCTCCCCCGGGTGCACCCCCCGCAGCATGTCCAGGCTGGGCATGCGCCCGTACTCCTCAATCTCGGTGCACATGCTCCACATGGCCGGGCTCATGCCCCACACCTCATAGAAGCCATCCACCACCTTCTCGTCGTACCCCAGACTGTTGTTCACCTGCAGACCACAGCAACGGCACTCGTAAGCAGGCTGCCAAAGAGAGAGCCACCATTGCATTGAACAAACAGACAGAGCCGCTTCCAACAAACAAGGTCTATATTGAGCAGCCGGGCAACGAGGCAGCTCCTGAATCAGCTCCTGAATCTGATCCAGCAAGAGGCTTTTTCTACGTCCACAACGTGCTTTGAATCTCTTTCAGCTTAACAAAGACTGAACGAGGTTCTGGTCAAGCTTTTGAAACACTGGACAAGCTCCTTAACCATGCCGCTTCCTGACTGCAAAATCCAAGTTTCTGAGTGAAGCCCCTGGAACACATAAGCCTTGCACTGGGTTGCTTCCAACCTCGTGCACTGGCTATTGCCCGCATGCAGCGCTGCCTCACCCAGTATCGGTACGATGTGGCCTCCGCCTGGCTGAGCGCCTTGATGGTGCCCCCTGCGGACACGACCCCGCCCACCACGTTCTTCTCGAGCAGCTTCGACAGCTCCTGCTCCAGCTCGTCCATCGCGGCAGCCTCGCTCGTCACGCGCAGCGCAAGTGCCACCTGCGACAGCAACAGGATCCCCAATTGGCAGGCTGCCAGCGCGAGCTGAGGGTCCACAATCTCTGTCCTCCGTTCCATTGAGAGGAAAGAGTTTTCTAGAACGTGCTGGCAGTCAAGAGCAGTTTTTATCTGATATGCATAAACAACACCCTCACCTTGTGCAGTACATGTCGATGCGTCCGCTTAACCCTAGACATACTGTGCGCTTGACGACAAAGAACGCACGCTAGATTTCAGCCCTTGAAGTCGTTCTTCGATAAGGCTATTGGCTACCACTCTCCCTACCTGCAGCTGATAGTTCTCCTCCTCCTTCTTGAAGTCAATTGACGGCTCCTCCGTGTCCATCAAGGCCAGAGCAGTGGACTGGCTGCCCCCCGCCGTCGAATCGCGCCCGCCCACAATCAGGGCGCGCGAGCTGCCCTCCGAGTTCCCTGACGATTGGCGGCTCATCATTGGGAATGGACCGTCTGACGTCTGCCCCGACGACTGCCTGCTGGACATGCTCCGTGCCAGCATGCTGTCCCGTCGCAAACCGTCATCCCAGGGAATGGTTTCCAGCGGCTCCTCCGAGCGTGAGCTATCATCCCGCCCGTACTGCTCATCCGAAGCCCTGCTGCTCGACTCAGAATACCTCCTCCCCTCTGCGAGCCGCTCGTATCCACCATCCCGGCCTGTGCCGCCCCGCCCCTGCACTCCTCGACCTCTGTTGTAATCCGCAAACTGGGTGCCCGAGAGAGATCTGAACCATGCATCCCGGTTCGGGTCCTCCCCTGGCCGGGGGATGTTTCTAAGCGTTCTGGGAGCATCTGGGGTGTTGGCGTTGAGAGGGCTTGGCGTGGAGAGGCCCGAGATGTCAGCATCCAGGTTTGGAGGAGTGCCTGTGCTGCTGGCGGCCCCGCTCGCGTTGCGCAGCAACTCGCGCGCCGTGGACGAGTCCCACTGGTCCAGCCGGTCATGCACGTTGCTCTGGAAGCGCTCCATGAACTGGGCGCGCGACAGCCCATTGGGCAGCCCCGACGGATGGCCCGAAAACGCTGCGCCTGCATCTTGGCGCCCCTGCTGCCCGTCCAACTCCCCCAGGCTGCCAGCAAAGCCTCGGCCATCGTCCACCAGTGCCCGATCCCCAAGATCCAAGGCACTTATCCTGCCGGAGACACCAGGCGAGTGATGCATGGAGCTGCCATCATCGGACTGGGAGTGCGGCGAGTTCTGGCTGCTGTTGGCGGTAGAGGTGCGGCTCAAGCGCGACAGCTCTCCAGAGCCACGCCGGTCAATTGAGACCCGATACCCCGGCCGTCGCCGCTGCCGATTGAGAGTCTCCAGCATCTCCTCTGCGGATTTCCTTGCCGCATCATCAACCCCGGTGGCCGTATTCCTGTCAACCTCACTCTGCTGCCTCTCGTACCCTCGGGCCCCATGCGTTTCTCCAGAGACACTTCTGTCTCCATTGAGCTCATAAACCCGATAATCTCTTTGCGCCAGCACCGATTCAAGATCATTGCCTCTCCCCTCTTCCTCATCTGTGTGCAGCGGCCGTCTCTCCTCCTCACTCGCCCCCTGGGCTTCGTCGCCCCGGAGGAGCCCTTTCCACCACATGTGCTTGGTGGGGGACTTGACTTCAAGTGGAGCTATCTGCAACAACGCGTGTCCGGACATCGTAAGGCCAACGTCGATCCAATTGGCCTTTATGATAGAAGGAAAATTCTGCATATTCCAAATCTGTCCCACAACAAGAGGACTACAAAAAGCATGTGGGAAGCAACTTCCTTGATGCTGTTGACTTTCAAAAGGGACTCTATGAGCTCAAAGAAGAGCATACAACTAGCTCCACTGGAAATCCAACAAAATGTCAAGAGCGATCCACAAGATATGTAGGAGACTCTACATGTTAGGTTCACCGCAGGCGCTAGAGAAACTTACTGACAGGACACACAGCATGCTTGCTTATGTTAACCCTGAGCATAGCTTCCCCAGCTGCTGCAAGTTGCTACACGCTGCACAGCGCACAGCAGGGCCTGGTATACAGCTTCTTCCTTGCTGCCGATGTCAAGGCAGCCGGACACCATCACAGAAATGCAACTCCTAGCGGTCATTTGAACATCCTAGCACGAGGCACTCACAGAATCCAGGTGATCTTAACCATCCGATTGCACAATTCTCTGACTATTATAGTTTCGGACTTCTCTTCATAGCCCAGATGAGAGGACGACCTCCCAAGACGACATTCCAGTACAGGTAATAATGCTGCGGCCTGCTCCCTGACCGAACAGCCTGGCAACTGCCCTCCACTGCCAGAGTCCACTTGCGCCAGCAGAAGTAGGCGCGGAACAAACAAACTGACTCTCAGAGTCTCGGTTGGTCCTTCAGCCAGCGCCGCAACTGCAGTGCCACCTGCTCCACCCCTACTACTACTAGGTACCTAGCCAGGTGCCTGGCGCTAGAAATCCCTTGGCAACTTGCTTCGAAGTTCGATATCGTTCTGTGACCCTTCATGAGCTTGTTACCGGGCGCTGACGCTGAACCGGTGGTTGGTACCTAGGTACCTTGGTAGGTACCTTACCGTCATCGTTTCGAACTTGCCTCCGGCAGATTTACAGAAATGAAACGCGCGAGCACCGGTCTACCCTACGGACACCGTAACGGTAAAGGTCAGGCCAAGTCAGGCAAGTGTCTGCAGTCGGGGGGCGAGCATTCCGGTGCCAGTGCCGCACCGTTTGTACTGGTCGAACGTCGGTACGGTACCGTATCATGTCCCGAAATGTTTGTTGGGGAAATCTTGGGGCCCCAAGGTCGAGATTCTGTTCGATTGTTGTTGCATCGGATCGCCGTCGGCGTCGGCCCATCCTTCTTGCAACAGCACCTTGGCCCAGGCTGGGCCTTGGGGTCCGACGGAGACGGTCACCCTGGGTGTTGGAAGTTTGTTGACTTGTGGCCTGCATTGAGCGGGCCCCAAACTGTGGCCTGAACTTTCCCGAAGTTCTCCAACTAGATGATGAAAGTTACAAGAAAGTGATGTTAGCACTTCTCTTCCTGGGTACTTCAGGTTTTGACCCCGTATAGTACTAACCTATCACATCGCATACGGTGCTTAAGGTACCTACCATTGCTGTTTGAAGTGGGCGTTGAGGTTGAAGGAACCCACGTGGCTGTCGCGGCGTCCTTCATGCGGTACTGTCTCCTCCCGTGTCGCTGTCAAATTTTCGCTCGTGCGGATCGAGGCGACATAAATAGAGGCATCCCTGGTGCGCGGTCGCTAAATGCGGATGCATCCGCTGACACCCTCTTTAAAGACTCGTACCAATATTTAACCTGGGGGCGGCCAGTACCATGTGCGCCCTGGGTACCTACCTACCTAGGTATCGGACCTCTGGAAGCCGCCCGGAATTTCAACAGTACCCGCATCACAGGGGTTCAGAGAAGTTTGTCAGCGACAATATCGGGATACGAATCCCACTTCTGAGGTCATACGTGCTGGCGTCCGCCGTCGAGGCCCACCTGACGCCACGACATCCTGTCGAAGGTGGCGCTTCTCATTGGCTGCGTCGGCGGGCACACTGGAGCCAATGATACCCCATGCTCACCACGTGGTTTGCTTCAGCAGTTTGATTGGAGGCAACTGACACCTAAAGGTCAGGGCTCAGTGCTTCTCTCGTCGCAAACCTTGCAACATTCCTCGGCACAAATCATCGAATCTCAGCATTATATTCAACTAGATTGGCAGCACACTGTGCTGCACTCGGCATGCCATTTGATCGAATTACCATGTACATATTGCGCCGAGCGGGTTCAATGAGACCGTCGGATCTACGAATTTCGATCCCAACAGATTTTGATCCCTGATGATCAGGCTTTTGCTCTTGACACAAAATAGGCAGGAGCGTTCCGAGGCGACGGTTGTACCCCCTGGAGCGAGCTAAAATCGCAGTCGACGGCCTGCGACTTTCAACCTCACGTGCAAACCCCCATCGGAGGGCCTGCGACCGTCGGCCGATCTACATGAACCGCATAATACGACAAACACTTGTGAATATACTGTATTGTTTTCTAGCGTCAGCTACGAGAAACTACTCATAAATACTGCCCGATGCGTACACCGACTTTGCTATAGCACTGCGAACCTCCTGGAAAAAAGGTTGTCCAGCTTCTTCTCGCATAAGAGAATCGACGGATGTCTAAGGGTAACAAGGCGGACGAACAAGCGAGGGTCCCTAGGACGCGGTCGCCAAGAATTTTGCGACGTCGTACTGCGGCATTGGACGACACCATTCCGGAGGCTTTCGCCATTTTCAATAACGCGTACGCTCGCGCGCATCCGGGGCGCACATGGGACAGCAAGAAAATGGCATGCCAAAAAGTGTATGCCATGGCATGCCAAAAAGTGTATGCCATGCGAAGCCTACTGAGGGCCCTACTGACTGCAGCCTGCGTCTTTGAAAGGAGACCATGGCTTCATGTGCATAAGCCGGGCCCGGCCTTAAAATCGGGTCATCTAATCATCACATTGTCACATTTGAACGTGTCTTATGGTTTGCAATAAGGGATCGAGCGGATGTCAAATGCAGACCGTGCCATCAAAATATGATCTGTGTAAGCTAGAATGTTGTCATGATACACTATCTGTGCACAATCATATAGACAATCGACCGTAAAGAAGCCTTTCAAGTCATGTCAGCGATCTTTAGACTTGAATGATGGGGCTTGAGCCTCATGATGCATAATGTGGTAGGACGAAATTGGCAATCCGCTGAATATCAAGGGAGTGAGAAGACTGGCATCGATTCGACCGCAATGGATGTGTCCTAGACCTTTCCTGCCAGACACGCGCCACTTGCGCCCACAGCTCAATGTGAGGTTTCTAACCACCCGTACGACTTCGTACGCACATGTGTCTACAAGCGGAGGAGGGAGATCGAGAACATTTCCTGCCCCTTTGCAGCACTAATCTCGAAAGCCAGAGGACATGGTCCTTACTTGAAGCTTTGGTTCTCATGCCACTTATATCCTGGCCCGCATTTTGCCAACTGAGCTTTTCATCGGACGGCCGCAGAAGCCCCGTTGAGCTTCCATCGGACGGTTTTAACAAAGATTTGGTGTGTGCTTTTTGGGTATTGTCAATGGCTTCCGCCAGGTTACGAAAATGGCGGAGTTCTATCTCCTCCTTCTTCCTGCATTGTTTGACACATGCAAGGCCTCGTCTGGACTGTCTTAGGTATGCTCTATCCAGAGGAGGGAGTGAATTTTTGAGTTCTGGTGCCATGCGAAAGCCTTTAAAAAGAGCCGCAAAAAGTGCACACCTTGGGTTAGCTGAATAGTGGTTTTGGCAAAATCCGGGCCAGGATATAAACAGCATGAGGTTACGGCCCTTGAAAGCTTTGAAGCATGATGTGCTTATACTCAGAGCTTACCTCCATCCGCCCATGCAATTAAAGGACTTTGTTGGGTGCACTGTCAATCTACCTTATTCCCGACTGCCGCAATCGTTGGAGTTGCGGTAGGAGTGCCAACATTGACGACGTTTTGTCGTGCTCGTTGTGTTTGTTGTGATGCTATTGTTCGTGTATCACCACAACAACCCTACCAAACGCAGCTACCAAAAAGGTTTCAGGAGAGCCGTTTCTGTCCCATGTACTTGAGTACTTAAGGAGGCCAACCGAGCCTCAAGGTCCTTGCAGCGAGCTTCGTGCTTCTTGAGCTCTTTGCACTGAGCTGCTGACAAAGCAGCGCTCCGTGCATGTTTCAGCAACTCCGCCTCCAACTAGTTAGACACAATTGTTGGGTGTCAGTATACGGACTAACTTCAGCAGCCAGAATGAAAGAGCACGAAGCATTCTGGCAGGGCACTCATCAGGGGGCACGCCCATGGTTAGATGCACTGTTGGGCCACTCCACGTGGCGGAGTTGAGTCTTCGTCATTGGACGGAAGAAAATACAGTCCTTCAGCGAGTTTTTCAAGACAAAACTAGGCCCGCTTACCTCTCGCACCTCATTCTGCAAGCGTTCTCTGTTGGCTCTCTCCCCGTCCAGCTCCCTCTTCAGCCCGGCCAGCTCCTCCTTCACTTGCCTGACTTCAATCTCCGAAGCCACTGCAGCTTTGGCCAGCTGCTCTCCCGCTTCCTTCCGGGCCTGCACATGTCCACCGGAGCCATCCAAGATGGAGGTGAGTGTTCAAGCCCTTTGTCAGATGCGCCACCTTGCAAAAACGGACGCGGAATCACCGGTCCGCTATGCACACATGGTTACGATGCACAAATCAGAGTATCTAAGCTGCCGTGAAGCCCAGCAGGTGACTGGAAGCACGCCCCGTATGAGGCGACAGAAACCTGCACGGATGCTGACAGCAATCCCGCAAATACAAGCTTTGCAGCATTTTAACCGAGGCCAGGAAACAAGGCCCGCTGCACATGCCCACTGCCTAACCCACATGGATTTCAGTCTTCCGAAACGATACGAGCAAGCGTGTTATTGTCAGTTCGGCTTTCGATGGCAAACGGCCTCGCTTAACTTCAACTTGACACCTCGAACTCTCTAGCTCCCTTCCGTCGACCATTCAAAAGACTTTCACCTCAAAGAGGACGTCCGAGGACCGACATTTTCGCAAAAAGACGACCTGCTCACTGGAAAAAGTCCTCAGCCCTCACCGCATCTGAATCAAGAATAGTCACCAAGCGTCACCGTTGGCTGTTTCTACGACGAACTGGCGTATCTGGGCACCGCTCTCCCGCTCTCGTGCTCCCCCTCACCTGCTCCTGGTGCCTGGCGAGCGCTGCCTGCGCCTGCGCCGCACTCTCCTCCGCCTGCTTCATCGCTTTGGCCAGCTCGCGGGCATCGATTTGCGCAACAGACTGCATCAACGCCAGCTGCTCCTCTTTGGCGGCCGCAGCATCCCTTGCCATTTGCCTGCATCTCAGATAAGCGGGGGGTAAGGATAGGGGTCGATGCATCGGAAGCGAACAAGCACACAGACGGCCCTGTGCTCGCATCGAGAGGAGCATCAGAAAGACGCGTGGAATGGCAAGGCCCTGACCCTAATGCTTCAGTCTAAGACACCACTGAAGCAATATTGAGTCGGATTGAAGAAAGCTCGCTGACCCTCATTGAACGCAGTGGTTTACGTGCTTTCCGAAAAGACTTCACACTGACATCTTTGCAGAACGACGGTCGAAAGATCGCAGTTGCAGGCCAGCAGCGACTCACAGCATGGAAATGAGCTGGCTCTTGGACAGCTTGTGCAGGTCCGCTGAAGAAGAAGGCGGCCCGGAACCCAGCCCGCTTCTGCCGGAGACAGCAGGGCCAGCTCCCCGCCCCAGCTGTCCTTGCTTGGGCCCCGGTTTGCGGGGGCTGGGGAAGAACGATTGGGGCCGGGCACGGGGTGTGGAGCGCTGGGAGGCAAAGCGGGGCGTCGCATTGGCCCACCCAAAGGGCGGCCCTATGTGCCTGCCATAGTCCGTGCTGGAACTGGAACTCGCATGTGGGGCATGGAATTGGAAGCTGTCCTCGTCGGCGGTTCCAACATCCGACTCCCCTGACGTCTCCCGAGCCAGCGCAATCCCAGGACACGCCGCATCTAAGCTTTGAAACAAGCTGTGGTCTACTGGTCCTGGGTCTGTTGTCTCGCCACTTTGAAAGCTAGTCCGGCGGTTCAAAGGGCTCGCTTCTGGTGGATCGGGATGTATGACAACTCGAACCTCCCTCAATACTTCTCTAGGCTCCGTCCGCTCCTCCGCTGAGGTTTGCTGGTGCCCTTCGCAGTTGACACTCGCACCAGTTGCCTGCTCCAGGCTGCCTGAGGTCGGAAGTAAAGGAGGGGGGGTGGCAGGGGACGTCTCTCCTGATGAAAGCGGAGTCTCAAACGGTGTTTCCAAGCTGCTGTCATCGGGAACGGAGCCTGGCAACCACGAGGCGATGTCCATGTCCAGCTCTCTAAGACTGGTCGGAACCACTTGCGGTGAGGCTTCTACCACTGTTGAGGAGTCCCCTGAAGAATCGTTTCTTTGAAGCACATGCGCAGGCTGTGAAAGCTGCTGCGCCATTCCTGCGTCTTCTTGTGGCTTTTGCTGGCTTGAAAGGGGAGTTGCCCGAGGATTGGTTGCAAGGACACACTCGGAACGCGTCGACGCGCGAGTGCCCAAAGGACTTTGAGGAACAGGGCTCTGCGTCAACTGCGCACTTTGGCCCCTCCCCAGATCTGGTGCTCTGCTCGCACCGCGCTGAAGTACAGGGCTGGTCTCGGGCACGCTGCTGTTGCGCCATGCGGAGGCCTTCAGCGACGCACTTGCTGCTTGGGCAAGGAAAGATGGTGAAACGAGGGTGGTGTATGACAAAGAACATTACAAGAGAGAGCAACGACTAAGCATATCTTACAGGACAGAGAAATTCGATTGAATCGAGCGTGTTTGCAGAAGAAGGGTGCTAAAAGTGGGGCACCATCTGGTGCAGAGAAGCTTTGCTCACATCCAGAACCTGCTTGCAATGTGGCAATGTCTTCAGATTAGTGGGAGATCCTCAAGGTGTCCTCACCTGCTGCCACTGCAATGCATTCCATCCACCGGCTGAAACAGGGGAAGAACCGGATGGTGCCGTCAGAAAGGCACCAACTAACAACGTGTCAATGATAATTCCACCCAACCGTCAATCTTTTGTATCCTGACAAGCGGGCTTGATTGGGCTTTAAACAACCACTGCAGCTGCTTTCAACTGATTCACGACTTTCCAATGTGGCAGATGACAAGCCATGCGCTATTGTGAGAAAACACCTTAAGGAGAAGTGTTTGCAAGCTCTGGACCCACCATATGAGATAAAATTTCATGTTCACATCAGAGTACTCAAATGGTGCACACTTACTTGGCAACATCCACACTCTCCGCAGCTAGAACGAGGGACACGGAGGAGCTCCGCACGTAGAAACAGAAGTAATCCTGCACAAGCAGAGATGATTGGCTTGAAAAGCTACACCAGCCAGGAAAAACAGCCAGGTGCCCCAGACAGGCGATTCAGGATTGTGAATGAGCTTCAGCTTCAGTTGACAGTGAGCTCAAGGATCATTGAGCAAGTTTGGTTTACTGCAACAATGGTGCATGAGCTTCAGCTTCAAAGTTCGTCAATCTTGTGGAGCAAGGACAGAACTAACTCACCACATGCCTTGAGGGTGATTGCAGGGGCCCCACAGAGACATCAACAAGCGGAAAATATCCTTTCAAAACCTTATCGTCTTTACTCTCCTTATAAAGAAGCCGCCCATTCTTGTTATCCAGACGAAACCAGCGCTTTCGCCATCTTTTCAAAGTGTCGCTGCGTTTGAGCAAGTAACCTTCCTTCATTTCCTGCTTCCTCCAGTTGTCTTCTGTTCTCGAATCCTGTTGGCAATTCCTCTCCAGTTCAGGTACTCCTTACACCCCTTACGCCCTTGCTCTTGATCATCATGAACGTCATGGGTTACATTCGCTGGCTCTCAACCAGGCCAAAGTCCCTCCCTTCTAGTGCCTCCAAACTCTCTCAAATGCTGACGTCATAATTCCCAAAAGCGAAGAGATACGTCATCCTACGCCCGGAGGTAATTCGACTACGATATTTTCGTACAAAACTTAGGGTTTTAAAATCCGCAAACTGACGTCATAAACTCTATTTTGTCCACTATTATGAGCCCCTTCAACTGAGCTTGTCGAGCTGTGCGCTCTGAGTCTCCGGCGGCAACTTTTCACCTCTTCAAAAGCTGAGTAGCTTCCTCCTCTTCGCTACGACCTTTCGGGGACCTTTCTATCTCTTCTTCCTACTCATGTGCTGAGTGTGTGTTTCTTGCAAGGAAGTGCCGCGGGGACGCGCCCCCAAAGTTGCGCCTTGCTGCCCCCTTCTACCTCTCGCTTTGCTTGAAAAAGAAAGAAATGAAAGCCCTGTCGGATGTCCTCCCTAAGGTAGCTTGCAGTGCAGTCTTGAGCCTGTGCTGCCACGAGTCACGGTCGACTCAGCGCATGACGCGAAATGGCAGGGGCCGAGTGACATCACCGAAGTGAAGGTCGCTGCCTACGTCAGCATACCTTTAACGAGAAATGCGGCTCCCCTTCGCCCCCTGCCCGATTGAGTATTTCTTGCTGTTTCGAGTTGACTCGATACTTTGCGATACCCCCCAAGTGAAGCCTCTGCCTCTGCCTCTAGGTACCTATCTACTGGACGTAGGTCTGTAAGTTTGCAGGTCTCAACGATGACGTACTCATGACGCTGTCAGTGGTTAAGTAGCACAACACTAAAACCCTAAGGTCAAGTGAGAGCAGTAACCCGCTTTTGACCACCCTAAGGCGTTCCGCAATGGGCCCGCCCGAACCCACCCTAAACCGCCATACCCACCCCACCAAGATCAGTCGGTTATGGTGTTTGACCCTAAACCGCCAACGATCCCCCGGGCACTACTCACATGAGTCGGGGAACATTGCACAACCGTTGCGATCATTCCACGTGTCCAATTCAAGCTTCCCGCAGTCGTCACCCGTGCGTCATAGATACCCTGGTACGGTACCGCCTCACTGGCAGAGAACGGTACCGAGGTTCCGGCAGCCACGTGGGAGTTGAGACTTGCAAACTTACAGACTCTACTGATTTAAGTATCTGGCACTGAAGTCTGAAGTTCTGGAGTCTGAACTCCGCGTGTGTGTAGAGCTACATTTCAAAGCGCAGAGCTACATTTCAGTTGACCTGTCAAAGACGCGCAACTTCAAGTTCAGAGTACTCATGGCGGCATACCTAAGACGGTCACTGGACTAGCATTTGTGGTGCTATGTGCATGTCTTGGAGGCGGCCTGGTTGGGTCTGTGGTTAGAACAAAACAAGGAATGGGGGATGGTGCAGGGCAGCAGGAGTATTCGGGGTACCCCGGCTGGGGCGGCCAGGCAGGGTGGGGGCAGGGTAGCTACCAGCAGTACCCAGGCTATGTAGAAACCCCCGCCGCCTGGACACAACCCAGCTACCAGCCGCCCACAGACCAGGTCAGTCTTCATTCAGTTGCTTTTTTGAAACTTGAGTTGTGCAGGACCGAGCCAGCTATTGTCAGCAATTTCATCAGCAGATCATGAGAAAGTATTGCTTGTGACGATGAACGTTGTTGTAGGCAGAGGTCTTGTTTGACGCGGTTGAGTCCTTTGGTGCAATATGCACGATGTGCTATGTTCTGTTTCTCCGATTTCCATCACACCTGTGTAAGGGCTACAAAATGTACGAATTGTTCTGAGCTCTCAGAGTAGGAAGGGGTTTTGTTAATGCAAGTTGCCTTGCAGATTGCTGTTGAAAAGAATTAGGCATCAGGCGTTGTCCTGACCCGCTCCTTCTTGCTTTGCAGGTTGAAGCCGAGCCGGGGCCTCCTGGGGAGGAGCGGCCGGGTTCGCAGAATGTCACGGCCCCCGAGCCCCCAGCCCCACCCCAGGGCAGCCAATCGGGGGCACCTCCGGAGTACTACTTTCCGCAGCAGGAGCAGCAGCAGGCATACGCGGCACCACCGCAAGCCAACGGCTACCCTCCCACGTATAATGCCTACCAGTACCCGCCCTCGCAGCAAGGCTACGAGGCAGGCACTTATGACTATGGCCAGGCCCAGGCGCCGGGGTATCCGCCCCAGCCGTCAGCGCAGGCGGATGGCTCTGCAGGGTACCCCGCTAGTGGCCAGTACGATTACTCAGGCTACTACTCGCAGCCTGCGTATGACACCCAGCAGGCGTATCAGCAACCGTCCTATCCGTACCCCCCCCAAGCTCCCCAGCAGTACGACTATTCACAATGGCCTCAGTACGCTGCCACCGCGCAGGGGGACTCAAGTGCGGCCGCGCAGGGCGCCACTCCGGAGGGCGGGTCACAGGCCTACCAGGCTCCGAGTGGGTACACGCAAGAGTTTGTGGCAACGCCCTCTGCAGGACCGACAGAGGCCAACGGTAGCGCGACCAGCTATGCAAGTGTGGTGGCACACGGGCAAGCCGCGAACCTGGTGAGTACTTGAGCAGGGCAGGGTCTGACTGTGGCAAAGTGATGTTTCTCGACAGAAACCGATGGAGCCAACACAAATGGTGTATCCTTTGTTTCAATGCACTTCGTCGGCTTGAGTTGAGTTTATAAGGAAACACGTGTTGACCCTCGTCTACTAAAAGGATGTGAGCAGTCACTGTTTATACGTTGTGTACCCACCGCGCCTGATCAAAGCGGTGGTCACGCTCGCAGTCTGTGCGTTTCATCGAGAGGTAGAATCATTGTGGGTCCCTGTTTCTTCCAGGGCGTCACTCCGGAGGCGGCTCTTGCCCTGTCCATGGCCCTGTCGCAGAGCCGTGGGGCCCAGCAGCAGTCCCAGCAGGCCCTCCCCCCCCCGCCGCAGCAGGGGCAGCCCCCGTCCTTTGCCCAGGCCGTTAGCCAGCAGACGGGGGTCAAGGAGTGGACCTGGAACACGGGCAAGATGCAGATCCCCACGAACCCGCGCCTCGCGGGCAACTTTGCGGGGAAGCCGAAGCCCCTGCCCAAGGAGCCCCCGCAGCCGGCGTACGTCACGGTGGATGCGCACAAGGGCCCCGAGGCCAAGCCAGGCGGGGACGCCAAGGCCAGCGACTTCCCGCCGGCGCTGCGCGGGTACGTGCAGCGGTGCTTCGAGCGATGCAAGACGGACGAGCAGCGGAGGGGGGTCGAGGTGGTGCTGCAGGAGGTGAGCCGACGTGCTCATTGCAAAGGCGCGGCAGGGTCGGAGCAAAGATGTTGTGCAGGAAGAGCGGAGGGCAGGCCCGCCTGCAAGCGGCAGCTGAAATGACTTGCAAAGCAAGAAAAAAAGGTCAATTGGATTCCTTGTTGCAAGCGCCAACTCAAAAGCCACATCTCCATCCCTTTCACGCTGGTTTGTCTCGGGACTGGTGCAGATCATCCGGACGGCCACGCGCGACAACACTCTGGCCACCACGGACTGGGACACCCAGGCGTACCCGCCCATCCTAACCGGCCCCGCGCTCTCCAAGGCCGGCGCTGGCGAGCGCCGGAGCAGGTGGGAACCGGAGCCGCCGCCGCCCAGTAGCCCGGGGGCGGAGAAGAAAACGCGGTGGGGGGCCGAGAGGCCGAGCCCCACCAACGGCCATCCCCACCCGGGGCTATTCTCACGGCTGGGCCTTAAGAAGTCGACAAATATGACCTGGGTCCGGGGCCAGAGCCCCGAGAAAGGTGCAAAACCGAAACCGTCCCCAAGGGGGAGGAAGCGGGGGAGGAAGGCCGCTGCCGCGGTGCCGGACGACAGCCGGGGGTCCAGCAGTAGCGAGAGCGGGGGGGGGACGCCCCGCAAGAAAGGCGCGGGTAAGCCCACCCCGGAGGAGGTCAACCGGCGAGAGCGGCGGTCGCGACGGTTCGAGGGGCCAGACGGGAAGAAGGGGCGGCGGCGGGGGGAGCCGGTGGCCGGGGAGGCGAGCCTGCGCAAGGACCGCGCAGCGCTGCTGATGGCGGCCGCGGGCCAGGGGGCCGCAGAGGACATCGACTGGAGTACCATGACGGTTAAGGGGACCAGCCAGACCGTGGAGAAGAAGTTTTTGCGGCTCACGGCAGCGCCCGACCCTAGCACGGTGAGGACCAAGCGGGGTTTTGACAAAGAACCTATTTCGATCGGCTGGAACTTTCGAGAACGGCTGTCCATTTTTGCGACTTGGAGGGCCTGTGCTTTGAAGGCCTTGAACCCTGAAGTTGCTCAATCCCTTCCAAGCATGTGCGGGGCTGAACGTGACAAGCCTGCCGGAGGCCGTCGAAGCCAACACCCTAGATTCAGAAAACCCGAACCCTTGAGACTCGAGTAGGCCGTCGCTGTCCGATTCACTACTACCAGAGTGGATAACGTGTTTTGGGCTTGCTTTTGGTGGCTCCTTCCTCTTCGTCGTGCTCCGCTGACGCGCTGTGCTGGGGGTGGCGTGCAGGTGCGGCCGGAGCCGGTGTTGCACCAGGCCCTGGCCATGGTGGAGGCGACGGAGCGCGACTACTACTACCGCTGCGACCAGCTCAAGAGCATGCGCCAGGACCTCACCGTGCAGCGGATACGCAACGCCTTCACCGTCAGGGTAAGGCCCCAGAGCGCCATCGGTGCGAGCCCGATGAGATGTCGGTCTCTGTATTGGTTGCACCTTTGTTCGACCGCACTGTCGAGTGTTGTTGTCCTCTAAGCCATCATTTCCTTCGATTCTGGGTTGACACCTGTCGCTTGCTGGTTTTCTGGGATCTCGGGCCAACCAGGCGTTCTGGCCTTTGGTCGCTTGGACCGTGCGAACAAGAGTGCACGACCCCCGCCAACCATTACGTCAGCTTGGCATTAGTCGACGCGTCCCTGCAAGTGCACGGCCACGTACACTCCTTCCGAGTTCTATTAAGCAATTTCCCATGCTGCATTTCCGTACATGCCTATCCCAGCCTCGGTTGTGTACCACCATCCCGCCGCCTCGGCAGCTTTTCCGACCCCGTGCATGGCTGTGCAGGTGTACGAGACGCACGCGCGCATGGCGCTGGAGTTCGGCGACCTGGCGGAGTACAACCAGTGCCAGGCGCAGCTCAAGATCCTGTACGCCGAGGGCCTCCCCGGCTGCGTCCACGAGTTTGCCGCGTACCGCCTCCTCTACATCGTCTTTCACCACTCCGCCGGCTCCGCAGACCTCCTCTCCGAGCTGAAAGGGTGCGCGCGCGCCAGCACCTCGCTGCTGCAACTCCGTAGCATCTGCCGTATTGTTCCAAAATTGCAGGGCGGCGGCGGCGCAAGATCTGCGCAACGTCGGATCGACGCCAAATGGTTGCTGATCCCCGAATGTGCTTCAAGCGTTGCTTTTGTCTGTGCGACAATGAAGTGTGACCCTGAGCTGCTGTGCTTACTGTTTCCGTGCAGCCTGAGTGCGGAGGTCAAGGCCAGCCACCCCGTCTCGCACGCGCTCAAAATCCGGGCGGCTTATTCCGCCCACGACTACGTTAGCTTTTTCCGGCTGTATGATAGCGCTCCTAACCTAAACAAACGTCTATTAGGTAAGCGCTCGAGCAGGCCTGCATCTGCTTCCATGACGACCTCAGGAGGACGTGCGGCTTATGACATGTGTTCGTCAGCCATGCGGGGGCTGTGCACGTTCACCGCCGTTCTCGTCATTCGAGCGCTCGAATGAATCCACTACTGCGCGCCTGTCACAAGATTGTTCGTTTTCAACCAGCGTGGCCGTCGACTACAGAGCACTCGCCGGAGGCTAACAGCCATTCATTTTGTTGTGCAGATTTGCGGGTAGAGAAGGTGCGCTTTGAGGCCGTCAAACGGATGACCCGGGCCTTCCGGCCGAACTTGCAGGTCGCCGAGGTGGCCCGCGTGCTCGGCTTTGCGGCCGCAACAGGGCCCACCGCCGAGGTGACGCCCGAGGAAGTGGACGACTGCGAGGAGTGGCTCACCGCGCACGGGGCCACCGTCGTGACCGACAAGGGGGAATCGTTGCTTGATACCAAGGTGAGCGCACCGGGGGGAGCGACTTTGGAACGGATCGCACAGTCCTCTTCTCGGTGACGGCATCTGAGGCAGAGGCAAATCCAGTCAACTTTTTCTTTGATCTCATGTCGATTGAGAGCGGGTTGAGTTGACAATTCTTCGCCTGGTGCTGTGCTGCAGGTTAGCCAAACCGCCCTCTTTATCCCCGTGCCTGCGGAAGCTGTCGCACATGGGGATGCCAATCTAGCTGCGAACGCCTTCTTTGCGAAACGAACCGTGGCTTAAGGCTCTTCAAGTCGTCTTTGTTGTTTCCCTCGGGAGCCTTCTGTTGATCACATATTGCACGCAGCTTTTGCTTTTGAGCAACTCTTCAAAAAAGCCCAGTGCAGCGACCCCGTTGGTCTGCTTCGAAGTGAAAGGCTGCCTTTCATAGGTGTCCGCGTTATCGGCTCAGTGCCGCTGTAATGACGCTATTTAAGCTGAGGCCCTTGAAGGGCATATTAACACATCATGGATTTCAGGAGAAGCACGTATGAAGAAAATGGGGGGGCGAGAGCATTCTCACCGGAATCCAGATTTGACATACAGCACCTGCAAGGCCATAGTGCCTGCGCAGTCTGCATTCTCACTGCACCGTGATCCCCGCTAGGTATCAATTGAAAGTTGCTGTTGTTGACGGTACACGCATTTGCGGCCGCCTCACAATGATCGAGAGTATCATTATCGACAAATATGTGTAAACATTGCATGACATATGCATGGAATGGACGTATGTCAATCTTGTGATTACTTCCTGCGTCAAACTATAAATACATGGCGGCTCACGCATTGCATGCTCGGTCATGGCCGTTCAAGATTCTGGAGTTAGACAGCTGCGCGTTCGAAAGACCTGTGTACAGTGTGTAGCCCCAGCGTGACCAATAACGTGCATAAAGACTATCCCTGCATAAAGCGTACCTCTCAGACTGCGTCGGATTTCCACAGTTGAAAGGTTGACAAGTGTCACTTCAAGAGTGCTACAGCAGTTTCGGGGCAGGCTTCCCGGTTGCGTTCGATAGATAGGGTGTATTTAGTCTAAACTTACGCTAAATTTAGTCTAAGTTTAGTTGCGTTACCAGACCAATTGACGTCATAGATGAGACCAGTATTGATACGTGGCAAATATCGAGCGCGTCAGATGGGCCCTGAGCAGCGGATCTACGGCTCGGTGCTCACCTTGGTTTTAAATGACGTCAAAGCAAAAGCTAAAACTTAGACTAAATAGCCTAAACACAGACTAGATTTAGACCCTAAATACACCCAATCTATCGAACGCAGCCGGGAAGCCTGCCCCGAAACTGCTGTATTCTCCTTTCAAAAGTCCTTTGCACGCGTCGCCTTGATTACGATTACAAAATGTCAGAGCTGCAGCCGTCCGATTCTGCGCGCAAATCGTGCACAATGAGGATCCTCATCAGCATGACAGCATCAGTTTTGATGTTCCATGCATTTGGAATCTGGAAAGTGAATCAGAAAGCTCCTCATGCTGGCTCGAGCCATGGCTCTGCAGACTGCATTGTAATTCTCATATTGGCTCAAGGTGGGCTCAAGCATCCAACTTCCTTCTCCCTAGCTGGAGTAGGTACGCCAAGCTCATGAGCACCCAGCAGCTGAGGACTTTCCTGTCTGGTTGCTCAGCTGGCGGCTTCAAAGACGTTGATGTTTGCTTGCAAGTGGGCCACGAAAAGAAGGGTGGATCTTCCGCTGCTCAAGGCAGGACCACTTCTCGTCATCCATGGCCACCTTTTACAACGCCACCACCAGTGGCATCCTTCCGGGCCACGCTCTTCCGCCGCAATTGGCTCAACTCTGGTGAGCTGGCCTTACAATGTGGGCACTAGTGCTGCGGCATTCCAGCCTCACGTTGTATCGTTAGTGACTGCTTCTGCCAGCAATGCTGACATGCACAGGCCAAAAGAATGGTGGCTGTTCCAATTCGAATCACCACCCAGGCCTTGATGAAGGTAATACTATGAAATGTATCTCAAATTCGGTTGTTTGACCAATGGACTACTGCAAGCTTCCACGACTTGCACCTCCTGATTTCGCCGTGCTGCCTGCATCAGGTCGCACGAGCTGGGCTGGCTAAGTGGCGCCCTCCCCCCTGTAACTCCAGTGGACCAACAGTTTGAGCTCACCCCCAGGACTGGCGCCGCCCTGGTCCTGGCCTTTGTGGTGAGGCGCCGCCAACGCCTGTGTGCTTGTTCAACAAACTTTTGGGCGTCTGGTCTCTAGCCCAGAGGAACAGCTCACCGTCCAGGATTGATGCTGCTGCTGGCAGGACCAATTGCCCGTTGGGCTTGACCAAATATACCACTTCACTGTGATTTTGTAAATTTCCCTTCTGCTTCTGTCGAAATATTGGCCAGTTTGGAGCTAAAATTGAGAGGGCATCATAGCTGGTTTGAAACTAAAGTGATGTGCATCTCAACCTGGAGTTGCCCGTCACTTCGAAGTTGCCCTTCACTGACTCGAGATCCCAAAATGTGCCTTCTTGGAGAAGTTGAGTCACCACTGTTTGGGAATGACGGTCCCATTTAGGTGTCTAAAAGGTAGCTGTCAGACAAGCTCTAAATACCTTTGACGGTTAAGACAACCAACTCAAAACGTGCAGCTGACTTTTGGTGCCATTGGCTCTTCTCTCCACAACTTCTCAGCCCGCAGCCGTGATTGTCTGATCTTCAAATCAAGGCTCCCCATCAGAAGAAGACTCATGCCTCACCACCTACTACCATACATAACAATGAGCGAAGAACTGAGTAAAGCTGCTCTTCATATGTGCAGTGTGGTCTTTTGGCAAACGCGGCGGGCGTGGGTGGCGGCCCTTTCTACATCCCTTTGTTCAACGTGTTGCTGGGGTTCAACCTCAAGGTGTCTGCGGCCCTGTCCCACACTGTTGTCTCCGCCAGCGCCCTGGCCAGCACCCTGTACGGCCTGCGCCAGACCAGTCCCCGCGACCCCAACCGGCCCCTCCTGGACGTGGACCTCGCGCTCACCTTCATCCCCGCGCTGCTGCTCGGGGTCAGCTTCGGTGAGGGGGCGCACGCGTGGCACCGCCTGAGGGCTCTTTTTGGAGCATGTTGAACCCATGTCTAGCCTCTCTTCGTCACGGTTGTCTTGTCCTTCTAAGCGGAGCAATGTGACTCATGCAGGATCAGCTCTTGTCGTGAGTTGATACTCTTGTTCGCCCTAGTCGAATTGTCCAAGAGTGGAGCGTACTACCCTGTGGTCTCGTTTGGGACGATATCGGCCCTTGCACCCCGTATCATCAATCAGACTAGCGGAAGCGCGACCACAAAAGAAGACAAGACGAGAGGGCAGTCTTACCAGGCGGCTTACACCGACTAGCAGGTCTCAGCACATGGGCAATCACAGTCATGAGGTTCCCAATGTCGTACATTTGTCTGCTCGACTTTACGGCTCAGGTGAACAGAGACACAGCACACGGCCGTTGATCTTGTCTTCGCAAACAGACTGCCTTGATCGTCCGACTCACCAATACACCCTTTTTCGCTTGTTCGAGGGGATGGGAACTCCGAAGGTAGAGTGGTGTTTCCATGGTTGCTCATTGCACTTTTTGACTGTACAAAGGAAGCTGTTCCACGCTGCTCGTATGTGGACCCGGTCACTTCGCGATAACAGCAGCGTGTTCAAGCTCCTCCCTGTTGTTCCTTTTCTACCTCGAGAGCCTGCTGCTTGGCCGCCACCCGAAGCGGGGTCCCACGCCGTTTCCTCTCGTCTTGCAGGCGTGCTATTCAACGTGCTCATCCCCGAGTGGCTGCAGACGATCCTGCTGGTCCTGCTGCTCGCCTTCGTCATCCGTAACACCGCCCGCAAGGCGCGCAAGCAGTGGGCCGCCGAGAAAGCCGCCCGCACCAAGGACGCTTCTGCCGTGGCCCCTTTAGCGGCCGCGCGCGAGCCCCTCCTCCCCGCCCATGAGAGCCACGATGTCGAGAGTGCCCCGCCCCCGAAGGACGAGCATGCCGACGCGGCCGCGGGCCTGGCGCGCAAGGGCACACTGCTGCAGCTCCTCGAGATGGAGGACCACCCGGGGGGGGTCTTCCACGAGGAGGCCTTCTTCCCCCACGACAAAACGCACGGCGCCGCGGCCCCTGAGCCGCCCACGCGACAGCGCGAGCAGCCCCGGGGCATGCTGGCGCGCATCCCTTTCGGGAAGCTGGCGGAGATCGTGGTGCTCTGGCTGCTATTCCTGTACAGCCAGCAGCTCAAGAGCCGCTACGGGCGGTGCACGTGGCAGTACCTGAGCATCTTGGCGGGGCAGGCGGCCGTGCTGGTGTCCTTTGCGGCGGGCCAGATATGGTACCAGGTGCGCAAGGCGGCCACGCGGCCGCACGACCTCGACCCGGAGCTGCGGGTCATCCTGGCGGCGGACGCAGAGCGGGAGCCGGGTGAGGGAGAGCGCATGGCGGACGGAAGCAGGAATTCTCCACATCATGCTCGGACCATGGCGGAACTTGGCCTTTGGTGCCTTTGTTGACAGCCGACTTCCCATGTGGCCCCGACCTGAGGCCTTCGATCCCTGTCAGGGGCACAAGTCGCCCCTCGCCCTCGCCCTCGTCTCGCATCGTCTCGTCTCGTCTCGTCTTAGCGTCCAACCTCTCTCCACTTTCGGATTACCCGCTATGCGGGTCTGTTCTGGGAGCAATTGGCCTTTTCCCACCTGTGTCCGTCTCGACCCCTTCCTTTTTCCCCGCAGGCAAGCCCCACCCCGCGCGCGCGCTGGCGCAGGTGGCGGGCGTGATGGCCCTGGCGGGCATGACGGCGGGCCTGCTGGGCATTGGCGGCGCGCTGCTCTTCAACCCGTGGCTGCTGCAGCTAGGAGTGCACCCCCAGGTCAGCACGCGCGCCCGCACAGCGAGGCACCGCGCGCGCGCCTCCTTGCTCCCCGTGACAAGATCGAGAAAGATGGAGGCGCGTGCCGCTAGTGCGACCCCACCACCATTGTGTGCACAAAGTTGGAATTGTGACAGAGGAGTGCAACAGCCGCTCGTTGATCTGTCGAGTGCAGGCCTGGACCAGCGAGGGGTCACGTGGCCCCCTGTTCTTCAGATTCGACGTTCACTATTCTGCCCCAGCGCCGAAGCATTCTTGTGGCTTCTCCGACTCCCGAGTCTGGCAGGCGCCCTTTTTGTCAAGCAAAGGGATTCTTCTGATGTGCTACCTAGTAGAGAACGGCAGCCCTAGTCCGAACTCTCTCTTCTCAAAAAGTCAACTGCATTAAGAGACATCCATCTGCTCTGAGGGGGGTCCGCCTAAGCCTGCGAGCTTGTGTGCGCGGTGCAGGTGACGGCGTCCACGGCGGTGCTGATGATCCTGTTCAGCAGCTCCGCCATCGCGCTGTCGCTGTCGTTCCAGGGCCTGCTCAGCCACAGCTACGCGCTCGTGTTCGCGCCCGTCTGCTTCGCGGCGTCCCTCGTCGGCGTGACGCTTATTGGCCGGGTTGTGCGGCAGTCGGGGCGGGCGTCCATCATCGTCATTATCCTGACGGTCGTCATTACGGCCGGCACGGTTGTGACGGGAGTCTTTGGAGGCATCAGGTCGTACGAACAGATCGTGAACGGCGGAGACATCGGCTTCCACCCCATCTGCACCAGGTGACAAGTCGAAGCTGGCATAGCAACTTAAAGACAGCAGCGGCATGTGGCTCATGTGTCCTTGCTGAAGAGACGACACGTCTGGTTTTGTTTCTAGAAAGGCGCCTGAAGTAGTCCCCTAAAACTGCGGGATTGCGCCAAGCCGATTAAGGAGTCTTCTGCTGTATTCTAAAGCTTGCCAGCACAGTCGGTTTGGCAAACGGTGATCTGTCATCCAACTTATGAACGTAATTTTACCAATATTCTGCACCTTAAGTCTCATCTTGGTTGTCAATGCTGTGTGTGTGCATGTGCATATCATGGATGGAAAGCATATACACAGCATATAGTTCGGAAACTGCTCAAGCAGCTCCCGTCCCAGACTGCGTCAAGCTGCGAAAATGCAAAATGGTGACGAACGAGCCTGGTGAATCTGAACGACTGCACACACCTTCATCACATGCTTGCATGTGCAACTTGAGTAACATGCATTTGCATGTTCATGCAACCACAATGTATTCTTCAAACAGTTATTTAGGGCATATCAATCTGTTCGACCGTGCCTAGCAGCTGCTTAGATAGCCATAGCCGACCATTTTAGTACGTCCACCGTGAGCTCTCTCATCTAGACATATCCAGCTTGCAAGGGCTGCGCACATATACACTTAAACTAGCGCCGCCACTGTAACAGGTGCGCATGTGCCATATGGCACATGCGCACCGGCCTGTTACAGTGGCGGCGCTAGTTTAAGTTGACGTATAGATCTCGATCGAGACCTTAGATTTTGGAGATGTGCAGTGTGTAATTCCACTCATGTCCAATATTTCCTGGCATAGGCGTATAAGCTGACGCGTAGATAAAGTCTTGAAACGACGTATGTCACACAGAATTGATTGAACCCGCATGCTTTGCACATGTTCGCGAGAAAAGCTGTCATGCAGCATAGAAGGACAGCTGACAGCTGAGGTCAGCACGTTGGGAGTAGTACAACTGACTTGGATTGCAAGCGGAAAGGAGCTGTACTATACACAATTGGTGACCAGGTTACAATAGAAATCTCAATTCAATAAATATGCACGGACTTGAAGCATTGAATGGATGTACATAGTTAGCAGCTCTCTGATCGGACTCTTTTTTGACATACGGAATCTACGCTAGCTGTTGCAATTCTGACGTACATCCAGTTACAGTGCTTGAGCATATCCATGCGTCAAATCAAAACCTCAAGCAAACCTCTTTGATGTATCCATTGACGTGCTTCATCCAGGTTCTTCACTACATGGCCCTTGGCTGCAACACACATCTTCGCATCTGGACTAGAGAAGCGATCAATCAGCAAAGCGTTCCAACCAGCGTTCTCTGCAGCTTGGTAGTCCTTGCGAAAGCTGTCGCCTATGTGCAGTATGGAGCTTGGATCCGGAGCCCCTGCTGCCTGCCGAGCAACCTCAAAGATGCGGGGGTCCGGCTTCTCGATGCCAATCAGACCGGAATAGACTTGAAAGTCAAGCTCCGAGCCCTGTACAAATGCAGAAAGAGGGAGCCGTCATTGGGCATTTTGCTGCAGGCACGCATGGCACGGCAAGTGAACTGCCTCCCCTTCCGCCAGAGTGGCCCTACAAGTCTCATCAACTACTCCATACTCAAAATGCCCCTTGGCTGTCGCTGTACATCACATTGTCCAGTTCAAGACGCCAGCGACCAGTTTCTTGAGCATCTGAGGGCCCCACCTCCACGATGCCCAGTGCGGGCATGATCTGGTCGCGGTAGCGCGCGGCGGCATTGCTGAGGCTGCCCGTCTTGAACCCTTGAGCGCGCGCCCAACGCAGGAACGGCACCACGTCGTCAAACACCTCGTAAGGGGCCCTGGAGCCAAAGATGGAGTAGATGCGCTCAAAGATGGCTTCTCCCGTCTCCTTGTTGTAGAAGTAGCCCGCTTCTTCAAACGAGCGCTGCACCACCAGGCGCCACCAGTCCTTGTTGTTCATGCCCGCGTGCATCCCAAAGCACGGGTACTGCTTGCTCACCTGCTCGTACCCGACCTTAAAGCCCTGCAGCACCCTGCAAGCACAGGAGCCAATGAGCGCAAGGTTACATATGTAGTGATCTGCGGGTCAAAGCAGAAGGAATGGAGAGCCTTCGGTGCAGATTTCTGCAAGCGCGGGGTATAGTCTTGGAATTGACCAGCAGAGCGATGAGGCCGTCGTAGCAGTCTTCAGAAGCAGCATCACCAAGCTGCACCTGAAGCGCCAACTCAGGGGGCAGCCTCACTTGTCATAGTCGGGACAGGTTTGCCCTGCCCGCTTCGCGGCCATGCAATAGTAGTCCCCAATGTGCCCCACGTAGCGCATCAGTGTCCCTGTGATGTCCACCGTGATACACCGCAGCCGGGCCGCCATGGTCCTGCGCCACACCAGCCCTAGCAGCGTGGCCTCAGGGATTTGCAGACGTGCCTTCTAGATGAAAAGGACGACATATGCTGCCCACGTCCGCATTTTCAACGAAGCAGGTCGGAAAGCACATTCATTGTTGCACTGGCGATCAGAATGCAGATAAGGAGACGCGATAGGGACGCGCCACTGCCAATCAATGCCCTGCCCACTGGCCCTGGTCTGCTGCTCAGGAGTCATGGTACGAACATAAAGCCTGCAGGCCGAGCCGCGGCTTGACTGGCTCGTCCGGCCCATGTGCGCCCATGTGCGCCATGGCTGCTGATCTGCACTTCGCAGCGGCAAGGCGGGCCTGCCCAGTCACGGTGCACTGTGCAGTGTGCAGGCAGCAGCAGCACCAGCCGCGCAGAAGTTGCATCATGCACATTGCTGAGTGTACCGTAGTGTCCTAATATGTACCTAGTACCGTAGTGGAAAGGTATGAATCCGAATGGTCGAAAATGGCAATCATTTCATTGAATACGACCTCTTTTGCCGATTTATTAGACGAATGCGACCCTGAATCCGAATGTGCTCGGAACTGCTCCCCGACCACATTTTTGCCCCACATCTGCCGCATATGGACTGCCCGGCTAGTACTTTCAGAATCCGACGGCATTTGAGCGATTATTAAATGAATCCGAAAAATCACTTTCCGAACGAAAAAGAGGTATTATGTAGCAATCCGAATGGTAAATGATTATTTATTTATTCGGATTCATACCTTTCCACCACGGTATGTACTTACCAGTGATCGTGGCGAAATTGCTTTCTGAAATGCGCATACACTAATTGCTGGTGCGCAAATTCACCCTAATTGGCGAAATTGGGGGCGCGCCCGCGGCTTTGGCCGCGCGGCCGCGAGCGCGCGGCACCTACGCTCGCGCGGCCGCCGCGCCCCGCTGAGTGCTAAGTGATCGCGGGTAAAGGATCGATGCAACGGAGTCACGGTGGTAATGGTTTGGTTTACAGAGCGCAAAACGAGTACTCAGTAGTCGAGGCGTGCCGCAGCCCGGAATTGAACCCGCGATCTGCCGAGGCCGACGTTCGCGAAGGTCCTCGGTCTTTCCACTAGTCCATTCCCTCCAGGTTATGAAGGGGCCTTCTTAATTTTTATATACTGGGTTTTGAGACTGAATATGATGTGAGCAGTCTAGCCACTGTCAGTATTGTGGCCAGTCTCAGAAAGCTGCGGCGCTCAGCTTTCAGGGAGGAGGAGGCATCTTTCTCAGAAAAGCACCACCAGTCTTTTGTGAGAGCTTTCAGCTGAAAGCACTTGTTTGTGGTGTCTGAAGTCTTGGTCTGGAAGAATTACTCAGAAAGGGCAAGTTCTTTCGACAGGAGAGCTGGCTACATTGAATATGCAAGAATGTTCCTGATTCAGGTTAGCAAGGCCCTAGAATGCAAGGGTAGGCTCCAACAGGACCACTTGGCAGTAGGTATCAGCTGCAGCAGGGAAGTGCCTCGTAATAGCAATTAAGATCTCATGGTGGCACCTTCCAATATCCCATTACGAGCCTGCATAAAAACACCAGTGATAAAAGCTTCTTGAAGCAGTTATATAAATATGTTGCGTTTAAGTTCTGAGGTTGACGCAAGGTCTCAGGAAGTAGAATTTCGTTTAGTTGCAGCTGATTCATCATTTCATACATGGAAGTTCACAGAACCCTTGACATCAGCTAAAGGTGACATCGAGGCTGCCCTTGGCCGGCCGGTAGTGACTGAAGTGGTGCTTTTAACGGCGCCTGCCACATTGACTCCACTGCAGGCCTACATGTATTTTGCTCAGATCAAAGACAGGTCTGGTGGAAAGCAGTATCAGTATCAGAAGTATTATGGCAGCGCCGAGAGGTTCTTGCAATGCTCAAACCTAAGGTTTGAGACGCAGCATTCCCTTGGGAAGCTGCGGGCGATGCTAACCAAAGCTCGGAATGAAAGGACAGGCAAAGGGAAACTTGCAATGGCTGTTAAAATCCTTCGAGCGGAAGTGGTTGAAATTGAACCCAATCCACATTGGCAGATCTTAAGGTGAGGACATATGGTATGAGTGCTCACGATTGTCTTCGTAGAAAGGGCCAGTATCGCCATTTTGCTCTCTGTTTTCCCGCTGCCCATGTGCCCACCTAAGATATGGTCAGGCCTTTTTGGTCCTGTGCAATGCGAAAGAGGCAATCAGATGAGCGGCGACACTAGCGTCTGAGGTCAGCAGTGCAGGGGTTTAGATGCACTTCTCACCGACGTGCTTTTTTGGAGTGTCCGTACGGCCCCGACAGCAGCTCCACCCCCTGATGATCCTTGCAATCACATCACCCAATGAATCTGATCAACTCCAGGGGCAAGTGTTGCTTACAGGAACTAATAACTACTTTGATAGTCTCAGCGAGAGTCCTTCAGACCCGTGCTGTCCCTTTGATTGACTCTGTGGCAGTTCGATCTGGAGGCCTGTTGTTTGTGAGGCCTTTGGCAGCAGAGCCTGGAATGAGCCAGTATTGTAATCTGCTAGCCTCACCTCACAGCTCATGTTGATGTTGTATCAGGAACGACGACGCTGGAGTCGAACGTGCTGAAAGGAGTGGCGGAGTCTTCAATGAAGGTGCACATCAAGAGGTGAGCCCATGGTAGAAGCTATGCTTGTAAGAAGACTTACTATTCAGCCACAACCGCAGAGCATTCTTTTAAGCCCTCCCTTGCATATCTTCTGGTGTTGTCATTGTTGTCCTCAGGGGAAGCGGCTTCACTGCCGTGGAGGTGACGAATTGGCTGCACGCTTGCAGCTTTCAGGGACTTGAAAATTCTTAGCTGTTGATCCGTTCGTTCACACCGGCCTGCTGACCTCTTGGTTTTATCCTTCCTGTTCTGCTCGAGTCTCTGAGGTTGGCAACACCTAAATGTAGCCAAATAACTGACCATATACATGTGCTGAACGCGCGCAGGAAGGTGGTTCCTATCGTGGAGCATCAGAGGTTCCAAGAGATACTTCTCAGTCCGACGCGGCCAAGGTGATACGCTTAACTTTCTAACTTTTTTTGACATTCCACTTGTTTGCTAACGATAAAGAATCACATCAGAGCTATTTGCCAACTCCGAAGCTGCCCCGGACATGATTCATAACTTCAGATCAGTATCTCCGATGATTTAAGTGCGGGGTTCGTTTGAAGCATGAGGTACTACTTCTGGAGCAACTTCGTAAAAGTTCGTACATGAGTTACTTCTATTACTGCTTGGGCTCATCGGGTTACAGCGCTTTTGTGGAAACAAGCATGGTCAACTTTTCTGAGCAACATTGTGACGGCGTACTCAGGTCTTGCTGGCAAGTTGTACAAGATGGTAATTGCCCTGCGTTCAGGTATCAGGACCGCAGCTCGAGAGCTCCGCTGCGGAGGCTCTGCTCGGACTTGGAGCGGGCGCCGTCCATTGCGAGCTGTCGGAGCATGCGTGCAGGGGCAGGGAGAGCCAGCCATTTCCTTTGCAGTCGCAGCAAGCGCAGGTAAGATCTGATACTTATGCTTGGAAATGGCGCTTCGATTCGTTTTAACCAGCATCTCTGTATCGAGCCGCGTCATTTCACGCTCCTCTACAAGGACTCTTCGCATCCTGCTCTGTGAGCGTTCCAATGTATATCGCCGCAAAAATGGCACCGTCCGTGGTACTACGTCGGATGAAAGAGTTTGGATATCTGGCCACGTGGTCATCGAGAGTGGTGTACACGTGGAACATTAGATCCGCTACGCTTTTGCTTCCGCTATCGCTTTCGTTTCCACGCTTTGCTTCCGGTTCCGCTTCCATTTTGGTGTATGCTTTTGCTTCCGCTTTCGTATCCGCGTTGGTGTCGTTCCGCTTTCTGCTTCCGCTTCCCTTCCGCTTCCGCTTCGCTTTCGCTTTGGCTGGGGCTGCTGCTGCCGCTCCTGCTTCCGCTTCCGCTTCCCCTACCAAGTTGGGAATCGTTTTGCTTTGGCTCCGTTCCGCTTCCGCTTTCCGCTTCCGCCTCCTCTTCCGTTCTTTCCGGACTTTGCTTCCGCTTCGGCTTCCATTTCGCTTCGCTTTGCTGAGGCCGCTTCCGCTTCCGTGTCATTTCCGATTTCTTTTCCGCTCTTACCTCCGGTTCTGCTTCGCCTTTGGAACGAGTCCGCTTCGGTTCCGGTTCCGCTGTCGCTTCCGTTTCCGCTGTCATCCGTCCCGGTTCGCTTTTGCTTCCATTTTGAGTATCGGTCAAGTGCTGAAGGCATCTCGTGTTCTAAGTTCTGTGATCTCAAGCTTCCAAGGGAGTTGCTTGTGAGTTCGAATTCGCAACCATATTTGAACGCCCGGTTCCGAAACTAACATTGTCGGTTGAGTTAGATCGAGAAACACCGCTCCTGATTCGTCCAACTCGCCCTGAATGCTTCGCTCATTTTACTGAGATAGAAATGCTACTAGGTCCATGTAAGACAACGACGCAGTCTTGTCGTAAGGGCAGAAATGCTCGCCAGCACAAACTTCTGCTGACCATTGAAAGGTGCACTGCTCCTTTGCAGGTTGAGGGGGCCAACCCGAGAACGAAGACGGCAGACCACCTCGCCACAGGTCCTGATTCGGGGGCTAGTTGTGCTCCTCCGCCCGCTAAGCCGACTGTCCACCACCGAAATTTGGAAGAGCTTTTCTGCTTAACTACTACCGAGACTATAATCCTGGGCGGTATTCTTGGAGAGGGTCGTTATGGCACCGTCTATGAAGCGTCTCTGGCTGGTGATGACTGGCCAAATTGGCTTCGGAAACTGGCTCTAGTTGTCAAGGTTCCAAAATCAGAGTTTGTGGGAGGTTCGGCCGGTCAAACTGGTCGAGGTAGGCTCTTGGAAGAGTTCCTTCTAGGTTCGATTCGGCATCCATCACTTTCCGGCTGCCTCGCTTTCGTCAAGTCGCCCCCGTTTTGGGCACTCTTTGAACGATGTAATCGTGGTAGCTTGTGGCAAGCCATCCGAATGGCAAGTCAACAGGGAGTCGAGCAGCGCTTTCTTGATGTAGTAAGGACGAACGGGATTGCTCTGGTGGTACAACTGGCGGAGGGTGTAAGTTATCTTCACTCTAAGGGTTTGGTTCATTGTGACCTCCACGAAGGAAACATTCTGCTCCACGAGGCGGACGGGTCGGTCAGGCTTCGGATCTCGGACTTCGGCCTCTGTAGGAGAGTGTCAGATGAGCGTTGCTCGAAGCAGATACGCACTTTAGAAAGGGATCACTTCAGAAGACGCAATCCGCACGTTGCTCCAGAGCTTTTGAACGGCGAGGTATTCACCGAGGCCACAGACATGTGGGCGGTCGGCTACTTAGTGCAGAGGATTTTGGGGCTTGATAGGCAAACGAACGCGCCCCTTTTTGGCGAGAACAAAGTACAGATTCCGGACCATGTTGCGCGAGTAATTATGAGATGTTGTATTTCTTCCCGAAAGGACAGGCCCTCGGCCAAGAAGCTTTTGGAAGCTTTTCAAAACTTATGATTATATTCTTATTGTTGATTTCGCTTTCAAGTTTCAGTCGATCACGTACATTCCTTTGTAACCGTTTTGACCAGATTGCATATCGTAGTTAGCATAGGTCGATCATGTATGAATGTCTTCAATCTTCTGCATGCCCGATTCTGCCAAAGCGTAAATGATTAATATTGTTGCCGCGGCGGCTGGATCTTTTGCATGCTACGATCTGTGCCCTTTAATTTTACCAACATATGCAGCGCCCTAAACGACCGTACTCTTTCAATCATATATGATGTCAAGCCCATCTGATCGCGCGTGAGCCCGCGCGTGAGACGGACTCGTAATCGGAGTTGACTTGCATGATTGAATCGTAGCTGGCACGTAAACTAGTCATGCATGACCTAAGATCCAATATGCTGGCCAGGTCCGTCCTTCGTTCGAAATATATGTCTAGCTTGTTGACCGGACATGATGCCACCGTCATGCGGCTCACTGGTATACGCTCCGAACAGATTCAAATCTTCGAAACCTTGTTGCAAGGGACGCACTCCGTAAATTGACGAGTACGTTTCGACGCGCAACTTAGATGACGGTGTCCAAAGCAATTAATGCATACAATCACTCGGACATATATGGCCTTCAAAGCTTCGAAGCTACAGCCTGTACATAGTAATATGTGAATATGACTACTTGTCTACATGTATGACTCCGGTTTGGTTGAAGCGTCATAGATTTTTGCGTGCACGTTTGTCCAAGCGCCGCGCATGGCATGATACTTGGACCAATTCGAAGCATACTAGGCAGCATGTACGACTCGTAGAATTAGTTGACCATTTATATGCAACCAGCCATGGCATAAGTGGTCGGAGTGGCACGCGTAGAGCTTTCAGGCTAGATCAGGTGTGTCTACATGATCGTAAGACTCCGGGTGCATGCCATGCTGGTCAAGCTACGGTCGGCGCGCTTATCTTTGACCGAGCCCGGCCGCAAGAGATCTATTCACATATGCACACTTTGCACGCGACAACATGCTTCAGCCATGCTTATTCCACCGTCTAGTGCTAATGTGATTCACTTTTTCACATCCTTGAAAAGAGACTCCGAGTCTAATCAAACACGCTGATTTGTCCCAAGTACTAGCTAGCATAACTAGCCTGTTGCATCTAAGCATGCAAAGGGTTCAGCGCCAAAAGCTAGGATGAACGTTGTTGTCGTCCAGAATCTAGGGATTTTCTATGCGGTCGGAATGTTGTATGGAATCTATAAGTGACAGCAGTCGGAACGAAGATCCTCTACCTGGTTACGGACTGAAAGAACAACTTCCAAAGAAAGGGTCCCTAGAATAAACAATCGCAGTGTTTTGCAACGCCTAGAATAGATATGTTCGAGCACGCTTTCGGATCAGATCAAAAGGTAGTAATCTCTTGAGGAGCGAGAGCTCTAGCTCGTGGGCCTGTCGTTCAGGAACTGCCGTGCCAACTCCGCTGCGTCAAAGTCCTCGCCCTCGTAATTGCCAAGATCGGTGTGAACGGCAGGTTGTTGCGAAGGTAAGAACGGATTGTCTCCAAAGATGGGGTCGTCAAGGTCGTAGTACTCCTCGACGAGAATTTTCGTGCAGCTGATCGCGCCTAGGGAGTCATCAGCCAGGTCATCCTCATAGAAGGACCTCAGGATGGCTGAGCGCTCTTCGGGCGTCGCTGCAGCGTCCTCGTCGATCTCCAGCAAGGGATCTTCGGGAGTCGTGATGCCCTCAGCAGGAAGGGCTTGCTCAAGAGCAGGGGCGTTTGGAGTAGAGTTTGCGGTTGCCGCAGCCGGAGCAGCAGCGGCGGTGTTCGCCCCGTTGACCTCAACAGGACGCAACGGTTCCGGAGCCTCGATCGGACGTGGGGCCTTCGGAACCCTGGAAAAACAAGCGAGAATATGTTGAGG